GCAACACAGAGGTGTCTAAACAGACTATAAATCTGTTTTACTGTATTCCTGAGAATTGCTTTTGTGCACTAGCTGATCCTGCTCATAAACTCTGAAGAGACAACAACACATATGAAATTACTTGGCCATCCTGTTACGTGAAGCCAGATTTTTTTTTTTTTGACAGGGTGACCCAACTAGGGCACCGACTTTTTGGGTGCGATAACACGAACAAACAGCATTTATTCACCTTTTCTCTCTCGGATCTACTTCAACTACTTAATACTAAAACAATATCATACAAGTTCTATATTTCTTTGAAATTTTTTTCAACTTCAAAATGAAACCAAGCCTTTTAACACATTTAAGTGTAACCTTTAAGATGTAGTTGATTCATATTTGAGTTTAAGTATATATATATATATATATTGTTTGTATCTGTATTTCCAGCAGCATCTTTTCAACAGTGACAGAAATATGCTGATTGTACCAGGGTTTACTTATGTTAACTTTAAGCTCAGTCAACCAAGCCTCTGATTGTTTAGTTGAGGGACATGCGAGTTTTGTTTGTTGTTGTGGAGTGAATGAAATGATTCAAACAGTGGAGTGCTTTGAAGAGTGAAGTGTTGTTTCTCATCAGAGGACTATAGGCCTACCAGCATGCATCGACCCTTCACATTGCATTTTCATTTTCAGCATTGACTTAGAATCATGTCAGTGGCAATCCAAAACTTTTAGGTTAATTTTTTTTTTTTGTTTGTTTTTTTGCAGTTTTGCTCAATAAAAGCTGCCTGTTGCTGCAGAAACAGACACTGAAGCAAACAGTGAGTGTGAGGTAATCTGGAAGCAGTAAAAACAAAAATGTAGAGAGCTGAAAGACACTAAAATGCTCTAAGACGTTAACGGTAAATGGACTTCAGCTTGTTTAACGCTTTTCGATAGTCTTCTTACTACTCAAAGCTCTTTCACACTGCAGGTCACACCCATTCACTAATGGCAGAGGTTGCTATGTAAAGTGACCATTAGAGTTAACGTAGCAATAGACTACTCTAAGCGCTTTCACACAGCAACTCAAATCCATTCACTAATGGTAGCATCAGGCATGGCTGCAGGAGCTGGGGACTGAACCCCCAACCTTCTGGTTGAGAGACAGCCGATTCTATAAACTGAGCCACATCTGCCCCAAGTAGGCTATAGGTAATATATAGTGATCATTCTTTATGGCTTATTAAAACCCTGAGTCAGCCTTACATCGTTGACAACAAATATTTGATCAAAGCAGCATTAAAGCAATATATTAACACTATGATGAATACATGCTGCTGTGTCGTGAGAGCTAATTAAGAAGACTGGTATGATACCTTCACATTTAGTATGGAACCATTGCAAGTTAATATTAGCATAGCTTAGCATTAAGACTGGAAGCAGAAGGAGATGTCCTTAATTTACCGTAATTTAGGACTCCATATAGTTTAACCATCATTTCACAGCACATCTGTGCAGTTGGTTGCCTGGCAACTACATAGCAACAACAAGACGCTGGAAAGCAACTTCTCTTCAAAGCAACTTTTTCTGTTCAATGACCACTTCTCAATGTGTTACGCATTTCATAGGATAGGAAAGATATTGGTTAATACTTAATGCTATTGAACCAGGATGTTGTTTCTAAAAATAAAGACTTTCCGTGATTATACCGTTCTCCCTTTGATGCAGGTTTTCAAACAAAATAAACTTTTTGGACACTAATTGTGTCCATAACCAGTCTAAGACTTGGCAGAAAAGTGAAAGTTAAATAAAAAGCAGCCTACAGATGGACGCAAATCAGACTGTAAACACTTGATTCCCTTGATGCAGAAGACAAGTGAAAGCAAATGGAAAGTGTTAAGGGGCCTTTATTTACAGGGGATTTCTAATGAGAAATGATTACACACACATGCACACATCAGGGTGTCAGCCCTGTCACTATAACTGCTAAGTATCTTAAATGTGTTCTTTGTAACTAAGTGTGCATTGTTATATATTTGTTTTATTAAAGTGCATCAAAATGTACCTAATATTCTATCATCAAACACTATGCTATGATGCAATAGATGAAGGGGGGGGGGGGGCATGAACAAAAAAAGCCATTGGTTTAAACAAGCTCTCTCTATTGAGCCACAGCCACACCTTTACATGTAAAGAATGGAAAAAATCTTTTTTCCATTTTTTATTATTGCTAAGTGCTCATTGTCTTGGGGAGCACTTTCAGCTTTTTGCACTCAATCTAGGAATTCATGGAAAAACAACAAGAAGGCCCATTCAACCTCAAGAGTGGCATGTTAAATCCAGAGGATAAAAACAGAGGCTACAGCGGATCATGATCCACAAATATAGACCTACAACGTCCTACAAAGACAAACGATGACTCGATATATTTCCACGACTTGGCCAAAAGAAGCTATTGAGGAAAACAACACCAAGCTTCTGAATTGCTCAGGACAATTCTGACATACAGTATATTGTTAAAGGAATATTTTTGGGGGCCTTTAATGCAGAGACAGGACAGTGGATAGAGTTGGAAATCAGGGAGCGAGAGTGGGGGAACGACATGCGGGGAAGGAGCCACAGGCCAGACTCGAACCTGAGCACCAACCACTTCGCCCCAATTCTGACATATATTGCTGACATTGTGTAAACAGACTTCACTGTATGCAACGCTCACCTGCCCTGGATCATTGCCTCTGATGAACTGTTCTTTTCTCTGGGATCATTGAACATCCAGACACTTGATGTTGAGGGGAGGGACATTTTGGCAATTTACACAGCCAAACCTGTCGTCGTTATTAAATACAAACACACACCTGTTCGCATCAGCAATGCACATCGTAGTCACTGTGGAAACCATTCAGACAGGTGTGAACGCTCTCCAAATGGTTTGAAGGGTTTGTGTCTTTCTGAGAGTACAGCAAAAGAGAGAGAGAGAGAGAGAGAGAGAGAGGCAGAGTGTGTGCTGTGTGTTATTTGTGTGCTTGCATTGTGGCTCACTGTGGGGGTGTGATACTGCAGGTTGCTGGCAGACTCACACGACTGCACAAAATAACAGTGAAAAGCAAGATGGAAGCATAGAAGTGCCTTCTCTCACTTTATCCTGCAAAAACCATCACACGAGGAAGAAAACAAAACAAAAAAAAAGAAAGTGACTTGAGATGACCAACATGACGATGTTCACACGCAGCTATATGAGAAAGAGTATATGTCGTTGATATTTTGTTTCATTCCTGTGTGGCTTAGAAAATATGTTAAAGTGCAGCACATGAGGTTTCAGCCGAGTGCAGACTGAAAATGTTGTCCTTGTTATGGACTGCCTGAACGTTTTTATACTGTTTTATGTATCTGGAGGGCCTAAGGCAAATTACCACCTCTGTCGGACAATAAAATGTTTTCTATTCTATTCTATACTAAACAGCTGTAGCACAAGAGTGAGAAAGATGTAGAGTGAATGAAACTGTCAATTTGAGTATGCAGTTAAATTAGACATTTTAATACCAAAGCTCAGTACTATTAGAAAAGACAGGTTTTATGCTCACATAAGTGTAAAAGCCCCAGTTTGATTTACATGTAATTTTGCTCTAAAACTGAAATTTGTTCTCCTTTCATCATGATTTACAAAAACTCTGTTACTGAAATAACTTCCAATTCGTGCCTATTTTATACAGGACTTTATTAAAACCACATTCTTCCCTCTGTGTGCTTTCCCAAAGGCTTCTTTCCCTCCTTTTGCATACATCTGGAATGAATTGTCTTTACACAAACTGTACATTTAAAGAGGCAGACTTCCACTGTACAAGTAGGTGGGGGTGTGCAGAGGAATATTTTCTGAGTGATGATGATTGGTGGCTATTTTTTGACAATGATTAGTTGTGCATGCATTCACTGACCACTTAATACAAACTGTTTATAAAAAAAGTCAGTGCTCCACAAATTTCTCCACCACCACACACACATTTTCATGGCATAAGAGCAGTCCCTGATGCAAGCTGAAAACTAGAGTCGCAGACTAACATGCAACACACACACACATGCAGGACTTTATTCAAATGTACTTTAGATCCGGTTTCTGAAGTCAGTTATGATGCCATCCTGCAGTGTGTGTAACTAAAAGAAGTCCTCTTGAGTCTGTAGTGTTACATCCATAAAAACAAGGCGGTCCAGGAATGAATATTTCATTGAATGTCAAGATGATATAGATTTATGGAAACAATGGTTGAAGAACACATAGAATACATGTAGTATAGAATAGAAATGTGCCTTTAAACTTTTAATATAAGATCCTGTTATCACAGGGCAATATTTTCCTTCCACTATAGGTCAGACACATTAATTTACTTTTAAAAGCTGTTATAGTTAAATTTCACAAAGTGGAGTTTGGAATTATTTGGTATAAAATCAAATTAACTTCCATGACTTTAGAGAGAGAAACAGTATGAAAAAGCAGAACATTGCTATCCAAAAGTAAGAAATTGTGTTCACTTTGAGTTTGGAAAAAGGCATTCTAACAGAACCTTATCTCTTCTACCAGCCTGCTCCTATTTGCACACCTGAAACCGATGGGGAATATGTCACCTGCTCAGAGATGATGCACTGGGAGCTCTTGACACTGCAGAGCTTGTTGAAAATGTAGAGAGCAGAGGTGCCGATTCTGCATGAAACATTTTTATTTATTTATATGGGTGTCAGTTTGAGGGTGATGAAACAATTCGATTCTGTAATTTGTTTTTTTATATAAAAATATATATATATATATATATATAAGGAATACAAGCCTTAAATTTATATGAAAACAAAAAAAAAATCACAGTATTTTATTTTTCTGACTTGCATGTCTTTAAATTGTTTGCCCCAGCAGAATACGATCAGTGCTGCGTCAGTTTGCCTCCATACGTGAGATGGCTTGAGCAGATTTGGGGAAGTTGTAGCATTGTTTGAACTTTCACTTCGGTGTTTCGTGGATTCAAACCACTTGCTTTATTTAAACGTCTCACCTGTTTCTCCAGCGCCTCCTTCCCAGTGGTGGACATCTTTGGCGCCGGCGTGCGCTCGCAGGTGCATCCTTCCAACAGGTAAATCCCTGCAGGTCGCGCGCTCTGCTCGTTCTCGAAGTAGAACAGTACATTCTGGTAGAGGGCGAAGAACTTCTCGTGCCATCGACTGTTCTCCGCTGTCTTCTTGCACAGGTAGCCGCGCTTAGTCCCCTCTTTACGCGCGACCACCGACAGAAACAGCGCGTGTCCTTCGTTGTAGCGGACGCTCTTCTGCATTTTCGCCGTTCGGTTTGGAAGAGAGAACAAAGTGGGACTATGGTGCTTTCACCGCGAGCCCATCATCGCATGCGTGAGGGGTTGCGTGTAAACTTTGGCACCGAGATACGCGTGGATCAAGGGCGCCGTGGCGCACGGGAAAGTTGCCCCGCTGACGGGAGCGCTTCTGCAGAGGAACTCATAGTACATCTGTCCGAGTCCCACAGTCGCTAAAATAAATCCATGCTTCTCGCTGTCAAAAACACGCTTCTGTAAATAAACAACAACAAACAAGAAGGAGAATAAGAGAGGCGGGGAGAACCCTCAAGTGCACAGACGATGACAGAATCACAGACCCGGTAACTGTAATCGGCTTTGACAGTGGTTAACTCTCTCTCAAACACAAGCACTGAGTGCCACAAGGTCTCTCTATCTTTCTCTCTCTCCGGTGATGCGCGCTGATCCTGGAGTTGGCGGAATTAAGGCGGAGCGTGTGTGTGTGAGAGAGAAAGAGGGAGAGGGAGAGAGAGAGAGAGAGAGAGAGAGTAAAAGTGAGTGAGAGAGGTGGAGAGGTAATGTAGATTTTATTAACGGCAAACGCAGTGATTTGTTCCTGCATTATTAATTGAGTTGTATCAGAGCACTTGTGCTGGCATACATTAATGGAAAAGAAAAAGGAGATAAATCAAATATTCAACTAAGTCAACAAATTCATATATTCCCATGTCAAAATCATCTGTAGTGGCCAATAAGAGGAAAAGTTGTAGTTATGATTTTATAGACTTTACACATTAAATTCTGCATTCAGTTCAGAAGTTTAAATGTTAAATGAAAAACGGATTTAAGAATTTCTGGACAAAGGTCTGGAGGCTAAATGAGCCTCTACTTTTGCAAAACACCACAATTCCAGAAGAGAACTGTCAAAAGATGAGAAGCATTGTGGGTAATATAGTTGGTGTTTATTTTCAAGCAAGAAGAATTTGTAGGGGAAAAGAAAGAAACCAAGAATATTGAATTAAGTGATCTTTGTTCTGAACTGTCTTTTGTGATCTCCAAAGTGTTGTGCATCTGCAAACTGTAAGAACCGTTTTGTTTTTTATCAATAATGTCACATTATTAATTGTATAAATGAAATGACCATTAGGTTACAGTACAGATGATACTGATGATCAGAACCTGAGATTGTTGAAATCATAGGAAGTAAACCAAAAACAATGACTTTACACCATCAGTGCTTAGTCCTCTCTGAAGTTTGCTCATTCATGTCTTCTCTTTCCTTGTGTGTTCTCTGTGTGTTGACTCCTATTTCTGTGAAGTCAAGAGTTTGACTGCTGCCACTCCACGAGGGACAATCTGTCCGAGACGCTCCAAAGATCTGACAGAACTTTCTTATTCTTCCTGGAGAGACAAAAGCAAAAAGACACAGAAATACGGTTTATAAATCTGTTACATATCCTCACAGAGTCCTGTATGTGTTGAGCCTAAACACATTGTACTGTCACACACACAGAGCTGAGTGAGAGTACGATACAATCCCTGTTCTTAACCTCCAACCAGCAGCTCAACTCCTCTGTGACTGTTATTTACCCATCATGGCTCTGCTCCAACAAAGGACAAACATTTCATATAAGAAGGATTACATTGATTGTGTGTGTGTGTGTGTGTGTGTGAGAGACATGCACGCACGCTTGACAGATATTTCATATATTTCATATGGTGAGGATTACTTTGGAACAGGCTAAGCAGCACTCAACTCCCCAGCAAGCTGTCTGTTACAGGGAGAGGAGACGCTGTGAACAAATTTACAGAGACAGAAGACTGTTTGGAGAAAGTGCATTATACTGACATTTTGGAGAATTTGACATATTTTCTTTTCCTGACTGAAACACAAGTGGAATATCTCTGCCTGGCAGTAAGTGGTTAATCTTTGCACAAAATCTCGGCATTTAAAAACACATATTTTCACCTCCTCTTTTCCGCAGAAGTGTGCATCTTTGCATTCCTCTAAATACTTTGGAAATAAAATCAGCTGAGGAAAAATACAATTTGGAACTCCCCTAAAGAAATTATGGCCGAGCATCTTGTTGACTTCAAATCATTTAAAATGGACCTTTTGGTTTACCTACCAATTAGTATTTAGTTTCTTAGGGTGTTGTTGGGTGTTACAAAGCCAGTTTACTCATTCCATATATGGTATGTCAGTTTGGTTCCATAGTGATTTAATGTTATTTATATTATTGTGATTGGTAGAGCTGTATTGTGGTAATGTCTTGTCCTTGTCATATCCTATCACTGTATACCACCACACATGTACTGTGTTCACTAAATTAAAAATAATAAAATAATAATAAAAACAAAAAAAAATTGAATTGGGGAGTCAAAAAAAATCCAAACATTTAACAGATAACTTATTTAAATCTAGCCTGTTACTTCTAGAAAAATATATTAAATGTATTCAGTACATTCAGTTGCATAAAACCCAAATCAGCCCAAACTGTTTTTTGCATTTCTTAAAATCAAAGTGGTCGAGGAATCCCAAACTGGCATCAAAGAGCTTCACAAAGTCAGAACTGCACCAGTCATCTGCCTTGGTCTGATGTTCCTGGAATATTGGTACAAGTATGAAATCAGATTCATCTGAGTGTTATAGCTCAAATAAACATTGAATTTAGGTACAGTTGAGCTGCTCTGAGTTTTATTTCTTCATGACGCACGTCTGACTCTTAGTTTACAGCTGTCAAGTTCCATTTGTACTTAAGAGTGTTTTGAAGATCACTGGAAAAAGAAAGGAACAGGATTTTTTGTGTGATTTAACTTTGCATTTGTAGGCTACAACACAAACTACTTTAAGACTTATTTTACTTTCTTTTCACACTGTTCTTGATACATTTGACCTGAAAACAAGCCCCAGCCTATGCAGCCCTTTGCTTGATTTCAATGGAAAGATAATTTAAGTCTGAACGCCCATTTAGACCCTCCCTTCCAGCACACATTTTGAAGATGCAACACTCAAATCTTCAAAACTCTACTCGCACAATACAAATGTTTCCCATTGCATCTTTTGGACTTAGAAACCCATCTTTATGTCTTAATGTTGTTTAAGAATTATTCAGGGTGATTGTGTGTGTGTGCTCCCTGTACCTCCTTGCGTTGACCGTGCTCTCCAGCTCGCGGGCTTTGAGTGCAGCAGTGTGCAGTATCGTGTCTGGGATGTCAGCCAATCGGGCGACGTTCAGGCCATAGCTTCGCCCTGCAGCTCCTTCAGTTAACTGGTAGAGGAAGGTGATAAACTCTGGTTGAACCTCTCCGTCTGTCAGTATATAAAAGAATATAGTCACATGAAATATCAACAAACAAAGTATATAGTGATAACGATTCAATAAATGAATGGGTCAGAGCCGGCAAGCAAATTTGCTATTTCTATCCCCCCCAAAAAATACTAAAGGATCTTCATACATGCACAACATGCCCACACACACACCGTCAGTATCCATAGCGATGTCGGGTTCATTGAGTAGGAAAGCCATGTGGTAGTTAGACACATGTTGAGGATACACCCGCTCCAGCTCACACAGAGGAGGGTAATGGGTCACAAACAGGGTGAGGGCTTTCACCTAAGAAAAGGAAGAAGAGATGTAATGGTTCAAATGTAGAACGATCTAGTGCACAGTGTCTCCCGCAGTGCTTCAGCGCTTTACACCCGGGATCGAAATGTTTAGGAGCAGCGAGACTGCATCAACAGGGTCAGGTGTTAATGCACATTGTTCATATTTGTAAGAAAACATCCCAGAGGAGAGGAAGAAAAGAGCACGGGTTCTCTGCAGAAGCCTGGCAGAGAGATGTGTCACTTTTCTTCTTGTATCTGGCTGGTATAAAGTTTTAAAGTAACTGTAGGCTGTACAGTAATGTCACATTTAAGGACCTTCCACCTGCCATGTCTGGTCTTACTGATAATAAATTCTCACCTTCACACCTACTCACCAGCTTTGCACAGTGCCTGTGAATTATACTGACAAAAAAAAAAATTAAACTAAGTAAATGATTGCTTTTGTCATTATTGCTGAACACATCCTAACGCAGCACTTGTTTTTAGAATTATCATCACATTGTAAACTCAATAAGTCTAATAAATAGATCATTGAACTCAGCAAATGTGAACCAATAATATAATGCTGACAACTGCATATGTACATGCAAATAAAACTAAACTAAAAAAAAATGTTCAAGCTCATATACATTATATGCATCATATCCCTTTTTCTACATGATTAAAATTAAGATCTTTATTCTCTTCTACTCTCAGTTCTCTTCCTCTGACCTCAGTCAACAAAAGCCCATTTCTTTTTCCACAATCATTAAAGCCAAACTCAAACAACAACAGTAGAAGAAGAAGACAGAGCAGACAAAGAAGAGACAAAGAAATGAAGTCACTTGTTGCCAAATGATAGGTATCATAACAAATGTTGCATTATGTAACACCGTCTGTGTTACTACAACTAAGTGAAAGTTGTAGCTGAAAAACAAAGCTTTTTTTTTTCTTTTCACATTTACTGGACTTTGGCTCAGTGTTATATAACTGTCTCAGTACTTCACAGTGTGCTGGTCTGATGCATAAAGCCCCGCTTTGTGAATATAGGGTGATGACCCCTGTAAACAAATATACACAGTATCGTGTCACTTTTTTCCTTCATCAGTCTGTCTTATCTCTTTCGCTATGAGATCTCTGCAGTTAGTTATTCCATTATTCTGTAACCCAACACCCGGCTTTTCAGGCTCTGGAGAGAGAGCGCTAAGTGAAGGAACTTCCCCTCATCCTGCTGTTCTTTAATCTCTACAGGGCCTGGGGAGCCACCCATAGGCTACATGATCTAACTCTGGCAATAAGGTTAAGTCGTAAAAAATCACAGATGCATGCACAAACATTTTTTTCTTACTCAGCACAACTTCTGAGCGCTCATTGATTTGTAATTTTAATCTATCAGTGTATTGAACAGGGATACATACATGAGCATTGATTCATAGGTAAGATACAAAGTAGATGCCATGATGTCAGTCTCTATTCTAAAATGTTCATTCATTTCTTTTGAGAGTAGCTCTGCTGCCACCTGAGGAGTCTTTGCAGACACGTATATCACTGTGTCGTCTGCATACTGTATTGAACAGGGATACATACATGAGCATTGATTCATAGGTAAGATACAAAGTAGATGCCATGATGTCAGTCTCTATTCTAAAATGTTCATTCATTTCTTTTGAGAGTAGCTCTGCTGCCACCTGAGGAGTCTTTGCAGACACGTATATCACTGTGTCGTCTGCATACTAAAATTGAACCTTTTGGAATTCACATTCAAGCAAGTTTGGACTTTACAGTCCTTTTTGTTCGATTCCACTTGGGATTTTTGGAGGTTAATTTTTTGGTTGGTTAAAGCATTGAGAGGTGACGAGCTTTTCCCTTCTGATTCCGCAATTTCATCAAAGTCAAATGTTTTCGCACTACACCGCTCCTTCACTACGTTGCTTATTAGTCCTTTAAAAAAATGTGTCTGTACGAGTTTGTGTGGGTTATGAGTGTTTGAATATATTTGTTGTGTTTACAACGTGGATGCTCCAGCTACTGGTAATATTTCATCATTGAAAAACAACACGTATCTAAATTGTGAATATCTTTAACATTGTCCGAATTCATATTCTGGAATTGATTATCAACTTGGGATTTTTTTTTGTGTGTCTGTGAACTCAGGTTTATTGGAATCTTTGTAGAAGGATTGTAAATGTTTTTGGGATAATTTTTAAACCCTTAAAAGCAGATCATGATCTGAGAGGCCTGTAACTAAACTGTACGTCTTTGTAATGCGCTCTATTCATTAAGATCATATTAATAAGGGTTTTACTGAGTTTACTGAACCTTGTTGGGTCTTGGATTAATTTGATGAAAATTGTGTTTTCAGTTTTTGCTTACTACTTTTTTCATTCTCCTGCTTACTTGAACTACATAAGCACATGGAAATGGCAGTAACAAAAGATGTATCAGCACTACTGAATATTGAGTGTATCTCCCCCATATCCTAGAAAAATAGTCTTGCCCATGTGAACTTGAAACCATCACAGAAATGTCAGTATGGTTCATCATTAATTCCTGTGTTGAGAGTAATGTTAACAAACCATGTCCCAGCTCTCATAGTAAGGCAGGTCTGAGTGTTACATCACTGCAGCAGACAGACGGCTGCAGAACTCGGCTGTCTCCAGGTTTGGACGCTAACAGCTCGGTCTAAAAAGGTCACACGTCAGTAGTAATACCTCCCTCTGAAAGAGATGTGCAGGGTGACTCCTACACACCTCAAACAAAGGCACACAGACCTGCACCCAAACAAAGACACAGCGACCTGCACCACAATCATCCCTGTCCACCTACACTCAAAAGTAAACACAAACGGAGCGTGGCAGAGGGAGGCTGCAGCCTGGATAATGGTCTGATTAGGTGCTAATGGCAGCTCTTTACCAGACCTCCCCGGGCTGCACTGACAGCTGTGAGCTGGACAATCTAATAAAATTAGTGCTGAAACGATTATTCGATGAATCAATTAGTCATTTATGAGCAAATAATCAATCTGAAAGTTAGCCGCAGGCTCCAGTTTAAGTAACCTTGTTCTTCTAAATGTATACAACCGGTTTGAGTTGAAAAGCAGTTTTGAGATTTTCCTCTAAGCCAAGAAAAATATGACTCAGCATGTCTTATTATTTGTACTTTTTGTAAACAATTTGACTTTAACTCAGAGAAAAAAAAACTTGACAATTTATCACCCATTAAAAGCTCCTGCAACCGGATAACTTCCAAACAAAGAACAACAACAGCACATAACAAAAGACATGTTCCTGTCCTCCAATAACCACACGATTTACGCTCTGCAGGGACTGTGACTGTTAGCGGATCTGGAGTGTGCAGTTGTTGTTGTTTTTTTTACACAGAAAACAGCTACTGTCATGGAACCAAAACCATAAAGTTGTCATTTGATTCATCAAAAAAGAGGAAAACCTAAAAATGTCCACCCTTAAAGTAAACTTAAATCTGCTGTTTGCTTAAAAATAGCTCATTTTAAGGAGTCAGGGCTCAGACTGCTAGAGGCTGTGAGTTCAACTCACTTAACATGAAGGTTCAAATCTAACCGACCTGTGATGTGGCACATGCCACAGTTAACACCTTCTCTGAATTGTGTCACCTTGTTCCCCTCTCCATGTCCTGTAGTATGTCTCTTACAGGCTTTGAGCTCAAAATTGGCGTCTGGTTCACTGCTCACCAACCAAGCACCACCGCTCCTCCGAGTTGTTTTATAATGATATGTTGTCAGAGAGTGTGTGCTTCACTCGGTAGTCTGATACACAGGAAGAGGTGAGAGGTCAGTAGTACTGTTGTGTCTCATTCTCGTTACTTCAATCTATCCAATTACTCACAAATCCAAATTTAACTCAAGTCAACACCTTTTATTTTCTCTCCTCACAACTAACAAGGCTCTCTTTGGAGTGAAGGGAGCGTGTCAGAGATTTGTTGTAATTGAAGAATGCGTGTGTGTCACTGAACTCTCAATTAGTGTGTCAATCTCATTTTCTCATTGACCTGAATTTCTAAGGATCAGTGACCAGTGTAAAGGTGATGACATTTCCCTTTGGTCATGTCTTGTCTTTACTTGGTACAAAAATGCCTTACTGGTTAAATCTATGCAACATTAAGGACTGACGGCTTGAGTTACCCCTCCCCAATAATGCAGCCACTCTGTCTCTATACATTATTTGTTCTTTCAGAGAGCACTAAGCTGATCGACAAACAATCAATTTGCATCTATCTATTTAAAACATATTAAAGTTTGTACATTGTGGGTGTATATGTCTCTGAAAGTGAATCTGTTTACAGATGAATTCCTCTTATGTGAAAAAGTTATTTATAGCCTTTTTTAGCTCCAGATAAAGATTCCTAAAGTTTGTGACATTGCCACAAATGATGTAACTTAGAGCAGTGTTGTTTGGTTTTGAAGACCACAATTTTATCAACAAAAATACATGTATGAATGTGGAGTTGGGAATATCTCTGTAGTCTGCAGATCACTTAGCTAAAGGCTAAACTGTAGTAGCAGCTAAAAGCTCTGTCTGTCACGTCAGCATTGTGGCTTATTAAGGCACATGGTTTTGATGAATCGTGTGAAAAATGTTTCCTAGTTATGTAAAGAAGGATTTGTATGTTAAAAAGGTTATTTTGGTTATTTAATGGTTGGCCAGGAAAAACTTATCAGGGTCCCTATACCTATTCGCACCACTGTGCAAGTTAAATATGATATAAATATATCATATAAAACCTTAGAATACCATACATAAATTCATGCAACCTTTACATAAATACATAACATTTAATAAAGCTGTGTGATCAGATGATGCAGTAGAGTAGTCACAAAGATGTAGAAGGTCGAGTTTGAAAGCTAAGTGGAAGCAAGAGAAGCAGAAATTTCTCGAATTATATTCATTTTCAAATCTCAAATCTTGATTTAAAAATAAAATGTCGAGGAAGAATTTGTGCTCTTGACATATGGTTGAGCATAGAGGGAAAGTTTAGGTTATCTGCTTGAAAGTGAACAGGATTCCCTTTACAAAGTGAGTTGGTAGAAAACAGAGAGGCATCTACATCATAAAAATGTGCAGCCACTGTTTAGTTTTAGTGAGGTGTAGTGGTGGTAAGAGGTGTAAAGCTAGGAGTATGTTTTCCTGTTATTACAGTGCAGAATTCCACTGTTTGTGCAGTCACATGCAAGTCTGAGTCATGTTTTGAGTGTAGAGCGATGTGTAGTGCTAAGCTTAGTGTGAAGCTAATGGCAGGACCTGCTGCCAGCGAGAGTAAAAGTGAGTCTGAGAATGAGTAATGGGTAAAGAAGAGGACAGTGAGAGATGCACATCACTTGCTAAAAATGAGTTGAACGAGACAAAAACGAACTGAAACAAAACCATGACACGATCGTGATTTCAGCAGCCACTTCTTGCAGAAGCAGCTCCTCGTTTTAGTGATCCTCTCTCCTCTTCTGTTTCTGCGTCTCTCTCTCTCTGCGTCAAGGCTGTCTCTTTTATTTGTCTGTGTTATGAAACCCATCTACATTCTTAACTACCTCTCAGGTGAGTGCTTGGGACATGGAAAGGTGTGTTTCTATAACAACTGAGTCAAAGGAGTAGCGGTCTGACTTTCGATGGGAACAGTTGAGTCTGCTGAGGAGGAGGAGGAGGAGGAAGAGGAGGAAGAGGACAGGGCAGATGAGGAGGAGGAGGACGATGAGTAGGAGGAAGAGGAGAGAGCATAAAAGACTGCAGGTTTGGCTATACTGAGGACGCCTTTTGCTATACAGCAACTTCTTTTGTGCCCTTTTGTTTGTCTTTCCTTTAATAGCGTGGCTTTTCTTACAAATCAATGTTGTTATACAACAAGTGGTTCGAGAGCTCCCTCCTCCTGCCAACATTAGCTCTGTCCTGAATTAGCTGCTACTTACACATTTTCACTATGTTATCCAGCGAGATTACGTAACCCTCAGATTTTGTCCAAAGATTAATGTGGAACTGGGAAAACAAGACAACTGGAGGGGGATTTTCAAAGATAAATGTTTATTCATCTATATTTGAACAGGAAAGCTCTGGGCGATTCTGAGCATTTTAACTAATGTCTAATGTCTCTAACTAATGAATACAGCTTGTACTGAGCAGGAGAAGAGTGAGTTTCAATTAACCCACCAATGGCTTCTGTTACTGTGGAGACTCACTCTCACCACTAGAAGGCCCAAACTCACAATATATTAATCGGGGTAGTTCAATGACTGTTATCTTAAAGCTACAGTAGCCAACATAACTCATTAGAATTTGGGTTAAATTAAAATAAAAAAATCATCTTTGCATGTCACATATATTATGAATGGTTTGTGAGCCCCATTGCATGTACAGTTTTACAGAGAATGCACTTCGATTCATTTTCGATTCAAAATAAGTCTGGATTCACGATTCTAAGTCACAAAGTCTATTTTTGAACAACTGCATACTTCACGATCTACTCCAGTCATCTGTGAGACTGGCTCGTTTTTTTGGAAGATGTGAATCGATTTAAAATCTCAGAAGATGAGAATCTCGGCTTTTAAATAAATCAATGTTTTTCCTCACCTCCATTAGCTACACTACATTGCATTCAATAAAAAAAACCATCTGGTCTTATTTACGATTTACACGGGTAATTTATAACCTCTAATGAGAATGATGTGTAATGTCTGAGTGTAAACAGCTGACAAAAGAAACAGCCGAGTAACCCACAGTGATACTCTAACTCATGCATGCTACCCATGTCATTAGAGTTTTCTGTGAGTATTGGTCTTAGTGCGCAACACTAATTGGCAAATTCTCCACGTTTTCCACAAGGAAAAAACATAATTAACTTGCCAATGTTGTCAATTAATGACCTACTTTAGAAACGCAAGCAACCCTTTCGCTCCTAATTTCTCAGCATACAACCTATATGTTCTGCAACATTGTGCATCACCCAAAGGGCCCTGGCTTAGGGCCACTAATCCCAGCAGAAACACACAAACACAGACAGACTCCGTCTCTCCCATTGGAATACTTCATCCTGTACGACCAACCTGCAGCTGCTGTCTCCCCTATGGCCTCCATTGCTGTCTAGAAATGGTTCAAACATTTTAATGACAGCCAACAAAAATAAGTAGGAATCATGTAAAAGGGAAATGTAGGAGAGGCATGTGACCACAGTTGATCCCTCTCAAGCACAAAGGTGGACATCAGACAGTCACACTTGAGTCAAGATTACTTTGGGTTTTTCAGAACAATAAAATAAGGCATGCTGCAATAAAAACATACACCAACTATCAGGTATCTACAGGTCAACCAGGCTCCTTTTCCAATCGCAGTATGCTCTCTAACAGCATATTAACATCGTAGATCAAGCTTGTCTACATTTCGGCTCAGTTTTGAAAAGCTGCCCCGCTGCTGCGGCCTCTCTGGAGCCTCGTCAAAACAAACAACCACTGCAGACTCTGCAGAGCCCACAAGGAAACTCAATCAAACACTAGGATGTTACCAAACTGGCACACACACATACACAACTCTGTACTCAACTCTAGCTTTATAATTAATTGGAGTGAATTCAAGATCCAACGGTGCAGGTGGATTTACTCAATAGCATATGTATAATTCAGCATAAACACGTAATGGTTTTTGTCATTGGCAGCGCCCCTCATATTTCTCTTTTTATCCTTTCTTCCTTACAAAGATTTAAATCTGTCTTGTTAACATGCCAGTTTCCATTCACTTACATCTCGGATGAAGTACTCCAAGGTTGCAAAAGCAATGGCAATCCCATCGTGGGTGCTCGTGCCCCGTCCCAGTTCATCGAGGATCACCAAGGAACGCTCTGTAGCATGGGAAATGATCTCAGAGGCTTCAGTCAGCTCCTCCATGAACGTACTGCGACCTTTGTAGATGTTGTCCGAAGCACCCATCCTGATAACCAACAAGACAAGGAAAACAGAGAGGACAGATGTCAGCAGGGTGAGAGGGGGTTATAGTGAGATCACAAATTGTTTTTTTGTTGGTGGCAGTCTGACTCTGCAGACTGAGCTAGCAGACCCCAATTTTTTACAAAGATGTACAAAGATGACACAATTGACAGAATCAAAACAAAGTATTACATACTGCATGGAGTAAAGTTTTGATGCAAACTTTTGAACTTTCCAATCTTTAAATGATTTGTGCCTAAAAGTTGAAGCTACAGAAAAAAAATGTACAAACTGCTAAAGTTCTTCCAGAAACTCCATAAACCACCCACAGGCGGATAAATCCAGAAACTGCTATTTTTCCATCTGTGAACCTGCTCCTCCGTTTCCTCTAGGAGGACGACTTACAAAGAAAAGGCAGAGAGAGATTGAAGAGGAGGCGTCCAGAGAAAGGGAGAGAGAGTAACTAAAACACCCTGAGGGTCTTCTTCTAAAACAGAAAGAAAGAATTTAGTTAAAGTTGCAGCTGCAGAGTGAGGGTGAAGCCGTCGAGGGGGTTAGCGCTGATGTTGGATGATAGGGTCCAGGTAGTTGGATGAGTTGAGCTCAGGACTCTGTGGAGGGCTGTTACATCAGGGTTTGGAAAATCCTGTCATGTCAACAGTTGCATCAACATCTTTGTGCAGGTCTCTGTCCAGTATCAGCCACTCCAACACCGTCACTGGAATAACAAGTACTGTGGGCTTAAATATATTCAGCCATGTGTCTCTGGGACTGTTGCATCCCTTCGAACCTGCTCCTGTATTAGTTGTCGAGTGCTGCCATTTAATAAGAATTTATTTAGTACCTAACTTTGTGATGAATTATTTACCGTCTTCAATATGTTTAGTTCAGGACTGCTCTGATCACAGCTTTTCTCTTCATACCAATCTGCCAAGTAAACCCAGTTTAAAGTGCTTTGCTGATTTCTCACAACAGGTAACACTTCTATGAATAAAACTTTCAGTTGCTGATGGTGTTGACTATGCTGATGATGAATCTTAGGCATTTTTCTCATGAGCACACATTAGGTTGAAAAAGTTAGTCCAGTTCAGAGAGTTTAACACATACAGTATGACTTGAAGCTAGATCCATGGTGCTTGAGGATCGGTGTTCCTGTTGTTTTTGTCATCGTTGAGCACCTCATTTCCATTTACAGTTTCTGCAGAGAAATGCCAAAGTGGTGGAGATGTTTTTGCTTCGGTTTGTAGTCCAAATAGTATTGTCCACAAGCAGTTAAGTGGGCTGTGTGCATGAAAACAGTCTGTGTTTAAAACAAAATGGATGGGATGTAACCTGCTGCAATGCAATCCCAGAACCCATTGGCAGTCATTTAACAACAATTTAGCTTGCCACAAACAGACACCTGCATGAAAGTTTGGCTAATAATAGTATTGTTTCTCAACACCAACTCCCTTCTCAAGTTGCAAGTCCAGCTGTAAAAAGTGCAACAGACAGAAAAGGAAGTCTTTGTTGGAAGTCTTTCATCGCTAGCCGCTGGCAAGAACAGAAGCCCCAAAAAGTTGTACGTCACTTCCAGAGGCAGCGTCATCAGTTAGCCGATGGGTCCCAAGATTGTTTAGTCAAATTTAAGTTCTTCCTCTCTTCCATCTACAGTTTGTCTGACCTTTCTCGTGATGTTGTGGCATCATTTGACACCAAGGTTAAAAAGGTCTTTTGGAACTGATTTGTAAATTCCTGCACATCACCTGAATGCTTGGTTGATGTATTTTAAGACACCAAAAAAAAAGCCTCCCCTGGAAGGTTTGGAATAAGAGCACTAGTTAAGGTCAGAGCAGGTACACAGGCTACAGCCGTGGTTCAACTCCTATTCATAAACCATATGCTTAATGACATCCCCTATGTTTCCCATCTCTCTAGTTGTCCTATAAATAAAGGCAAAATGCCAAACAAAGAATACTAAATGTTTGTGCATTAGGGTCAATGTGTACACTAAATATTAACCAGACAGCCTTGAATGCATGTAATAAATGTTTTGGTAAAATGATCTTGGAGATGTTACATCTGGACCACAATGCCTTCCTTGCCTAACTGTGCATGACAGCTTCCTCACTGAGCGGCCGATTTTTTTTCTTCTTCATACATTTCTTTTAAATCTTCATTAGACAAAAGCTCTCGACAGCAAAGCAGGTGTTTAATGAATTTGATCTTGTCTTTGACACATTCTACAAATATAAACCATCGACGCTGTACCCGAGGTGTAAAGTTGGTGGTATGACACTGTCGCTTTTCACAGATTTCATTCACTCTTTATATTTCCGCTGAGAACTTCACGGCACACACAGACAAAAATAGGTGAGTTGCTGCACTTTCAAATGATGCGTTACTGCAGCTGAGCTTAAGCCATGCTGCTTTGACCTGTTTACACGGGCTTCCGAGCCAAGGACAGCCAATCAGAAAGACTAAACACACAGTTAACAGTTGTCACATTGCCACCTATTGAGTCAATATTAAATGATATTTAAAGATTACAGATACAATGACAACATGTTGAATTTTCCACAAGCTTCAAAGCCAGTTTAGAGAGCTCCTCTGACGCTCCACTGCGACTGACAGACAGAGCAGTGACTCATGGGATAAAAACTCCAGCTGGATCACCAAGCAACATCTTTCTGCCAGCCTCTTTTTCTCACCTCTAAATCTGTCTTTTCCTGTCCTTATTGACATTCAACATACTCCCCCATCAATGAATGAACCTTCAGCTCTTAAGTAACCATGGTAACCCCACACACCATAAAAGAAGGGGGTGTGGCAGACGTGCTGCTGCATGTCATTAGCCAATTTATAGTGCGCGCATGCATGTATGCCTTTAACCCAGGGGAAATGGAGGCAGTCCGATCTATACTGCAAAGCTGAAAGCATAGACACAGAGCCAAGATGAGAGGGAAGACGACTGTTTGCACACTCTGTCCTTCCACTGATGAGAAGACGAAGGGCTAAAACATAGCAACACTGCACCAGCTGGGGGTCCTGCTGCTCTCATTAAGTCTGTGCTTCCCACCAAACAAACCCATTCTGAAAATAGAGTCCATTTATCATCACCCCACACCGTTTAAAGACTTGTGGTTCCGTAACTGCCGTCTGATTTCTCAGTGATTTGATTTTCTTAATGAGTTTACTCATACCAATCATGATGATGCATTTACCACATTTCAGTAGCATAAACAATATATTTTTGGGAGTAGAAAATTAAATCGAAGCCTTACTAAAATGAGAAAGTTTGGGTTTTGCTTTTGTATCACAAATCATCGTCCTAAAGAGCTTTAAAGAAATCATCCGCACTATGACACAGACACTTTCTGCATCATCTGTCTTTGATGTTCTGTTCATTCAGAATGTTATTTACATTTCAAAAATACTTCCAACCTTGTCTCTACCTGTTGCAGAGTGCCTCCATCATGCCTACCTACATTAAAAAAAACCTTGCCAACGGTAAATCTCTGCGAGTGTGACTTTGAAACGTAGCAGAAATAAAGTCTTCACAGAAACTGTTGCTGTTTGAATCACTAGCTTCGACCTTTTGAACCATTTCTAAGATGCACTGCAGCTAAGCTTAACTGTTTTCAAAGTAACTTCACATCACTGTCACCACTTGGGAGAAATGTGCATACCTGAGTGCCTAAAGGAGGATATTCATTATTTTAGTCTCACTAAAATAATTATTAACAGTGTTTCATTGCGGAGTTCTGCTTCAAGACAGGACTTGGGAAATATGATAATTGATTTTATATTGCTCATGTTTTGTTTGTTGCTTTGTAACGATGCTGTGTGATTTTTAATGACATTATATTTAGAGTGTTTTGGTTTTAAATGGTCACCAGAGAAGTGGGGAATACCTGGGGGAGCTAATGTAAGTCAAAATAAACATGGCTAAACAAGAAGCCATCTTCTTTTCCTGATACGGACAGTGAGATAATAAAGGATAGCACGTAACACAACCCCTTAGCGGATGGTTTTGTCAAGCATTTTAATTTTCCACAGATTTGTCTTCATTTTTATTTTCAACTTTTTGTTTCTGTAGGATTCTACTTTGTCTGATATAGTGAACCTCCAGGTCCTGCAGAGCAATGAAGGCCTGTGCTGCCAACAAGTTGGAACAAACACTCTTATAGTTCAGTACTTCAGAACCGATAAGTCGATTTAGGATTCAACATTTTCCCACATACTCAACATGTCTGACATCAGTATACAACACCCACCCAGGTGAGGATAGAAACTGATTGGCACCCAAACACTCACCATTAGTAGTGAGGTTTATCTGGACATCAGCCACACACACACACACACACACAAAAAAAAAAAAAAGAGGATAAAAAAATCTGACTGCTTTTTCATTAGAGGGGAACTTGTAAAAGGCTTTAGTAAAACACTTTATAATCACTGCTTGGAGTCCATGGTCAATTAAAGGTCCCTTTCAAAACACAGTTTTACATTCTACTTCCTTTTGCTGTTTCCATAACAACCATGAAGGGGTGTAAGAATGTGCTCTATAACCTTCAGGACTCAATAAGAACAAAAAAAAAACATACACACAGCGACTACATGCACACAGACACACACAGAGTTATGCTTAATCTACTGTACGGCATATTTGTAAAAAAAGCTGTAGCACAAAATAAAACAAAGACTCCGAGAGGCGGCACACAGCTTTAAACTAGTCTCCAGATTATTCACTTTATCCTCGTTGATAATCAATCATCTGGATCCTTTCAGACAGGATATCCCATTAGACACCCACACACCAACTCATTACCCGGACCCACAAAGTCTGCTCATTGCTCTCTAGGAAAGCGCTCACTCTCCCTCTCTCTCTCTCTCATAAACACACCTCATCTTTCACACATACACCCACAAGATGAAGCCTTTCCACTGCTGTGTCCGCACAGCGGTGGGAATTGATCGGACGTTTATTATCTAAACACATTCTCCTCAGGATCAAACACTCGCTGGTAGAAAGAGGCTGAGCGGTCCAATTAGAATCAGAGAAGACGACGGCGGTAACAGAGAAGGTGAGGAGAGGACACAACTGATAGTGTGTGTGGGCGTGTGTGTGTCTGAGTTTTCTCTGTGGACATTAATTATCTCAAAGATGCAGGTTTTTTTTTTTTTTTTTGAGAGACAGCCTCTGATCCAAATCAGAGACTTGACTCAACACAGACACACACACACATGCAGACTTACTGTATGTAGACCTTCATCCACATACAGTAGTTATGTAATGTAACGTCTCACTAACAGCCTGACCCTTATCACTTCCTTATGTAAAGTCTTACAGCTAAAACGTGCATTAACTGGGATCAGAATCTGGCTGTGTTTGTTTTGTTTTACACCTGTTTTTCCAAGACAAATTTTTTTTTTTAAAGAATCTGATCTGTTGCAACATACAGCTGTGAGGCACAAGCTGTTTGCAACATCATCTGTTTTAAATGAAGCCTGGAAACGGTCTTGCATGAACATCTCTCTCTCTCTCTCTCTCTCTCTCTCTCTCTCTAATTTTATGTCCCAACTGCTCCTAAAAGTAGATTAATCCTGTAGGAAGAAAACATCGATTATCTTCAGTTTAGAAAGAAAAATAATTTGTTTTGTGTTGGTCAGTATTTTTGTTTAAAATCAAAAGCACATCTTTACATTAAGAGACAACAGATATGATGTAATCACATGTGATACAATGTGAAACTTCAACCGTGGTCCGTTCCGATCGGCCCCAACGGTTCGAGCTGTGCGTGATCTGTGGATTGATGTAAAATGTATAAACATGATGTGATGTTTTTTTAATAGAATTGAAAAATAAGACTTTTTGCTTCAACTAATAAAATGGTACATTCAATCATCGTTCTTTACATCTAGTGTCCACCCAACCCACACAATCACAACCCCAGCCTAAAAACACAAGCAGAGCCATAGCCATGTGAACACCAGAATAAAATCACTTCATTATACTCATGTGAAAATAACGCTGCCAACTGTTCCTCTCAAGGATGGTAGAAAGAACACACGCATGAACACACACATGTGCTGTGCTGACAGGTCTCTGGCTCCTACTGGGTTAATACATAAGAACATGCTTAAACACACAAAAAAAGACAATTACACACATCTGCAAGCCATTAGGTCTAATCACATACTGCAGCTCAGGCAGAATAACAGAGACCATATACTGGCCTGTGTTCCTCACTAATATGTAGTCAGGGCTGGAAACTACAAGCAGAGCACACTGCTACACGCTTCAGAATCAGCAGCAAATGAAAAATAATTTCCAAAGAAGTCTTATTGTCTTGTACGAAACAAAGGGCTGCATTGTGCACAACCAACTACTCGTGTTCATCTTCACACACACCTCATCCTGTGTGGTGAGGAACACAATAAGATTAGATGGGATTACTCTGAGTGTCAAGCCGAGAAATAATCTCAGCTATGTCACAGACAAAGAAGGGGACATAAGGCGAAGGAGGTTTTTTCGGGAGAGAAATAAGATTTCCTTTTTTGTCCTTAGGTTGCCTCTACAGTATTTACCACTGACCTCAAATCCAATAATAAGAATCTGTAGAGGTAAAAGTGTGTTGTCATGGTCACTGTCAATGCTTTCCTCCTGTTGAAACACAAATGTGTTTCTCAGGTTTCACTTCTTTAGGTTTTTTTTTGTCAATAAATTAAAAAAAAAAAAGGGAGAATGGACTTTGTTTGGACACTTATGAGGATTTCATCATGCATGGACATGATGAAATCTGGTGAGCACACAACTCTTTGACAGTCTGGATAAATAAATCATGAATTATCTTGAAAGGTTTAGAAAAGAGAAGTTTTATTTCAGTCTGAGCTGTTAACAGAACTTTGTGACCAAACAGCTGATAAAGAAGCTGATTGGTTTAGAAAACCCTTTAAAGCAAAGCCTGCTTGTAAAGTGATCAACACAAAAATGTACATAGTATGTCTCAGTCTCCTCCTTTTTATTTTAGGTGAAACAGAATGCACAATTGCAATAAAACACAGGAGAGACGCTCATACCAGTAATGGGGAGATTTCGCATATTTCCAAGTCCAAAGTGTCAATTAATACATATATGGTCCATTTATTCTGCATGCTTTAACTTATTAAACCGTGATCATTTTTGCCTTCTTCGTTGATATTAGGTTGACATTTCTATACTCTTTCTCAAGCTCCAGGTCAATCATCAAAATAATCAAATGTGCTTTTTGTGTTGAATTGACTTTACTGCAGCTGTAAGGATGTACAAATTGAACACATGGATCTAAATGTGCCTGTTTTATACATACCTGGTGTAAATGCCATCGAGGACACCGAGATGGGCCGCAGAGGCTGGGACATAAGAGCCCATCTGAGCCATAACACAGATCAGAGCCACCTGGCGGATGTAGGAGCTCTTACCACCCATATTAGGGCCAGTGATTATCATGGTTCTCCTGCCATCACCCTGTAGCAGGAGACATGACGGGAAAGGGAGGAACAGAGATAGAGAGAGAGAGAGAGATAGTGTTGATCATCATTATTTAATTTCATATCTAAATGATTATATTGTGTATTGTATGTTGGAGAGAAGAGGAGAGGAGAAGAGAGACAGAAGGCGGCCGAGGAGAAAGCAGAATAAGATATTTTCATGCTGTCCTGCACAGCTGAGGAGGTGGGTGGATTGAAGGCTTGGCTTCTCTTCCTATTGGCTTTTGCTTCTGTTGCAAGATTAACCTACACCCACTTCAGCACAAAGCCAGGAAGTGTGTATGCGTGTGTGTGTGTGTGTGCGCGTACGTGTGGTCATGCCAGTCTCTATGTGATGGCATCATGTGTGTTTCTATTCATGAGTGTGTGTACTCTTGCAAATTTGTTTCAAATCTGTCTCAATGAATTATTGACCAAGTAAACATCTGAGTGTCTTGGCACAGCTAGGTTTGCGTCAATCTGAATGAAACTGTGTGTGTGTGTGTGTGTGTGTGTGTGTGTGTGTGTGTGTGTGTGTGTGTGTGTGTGTGTGTGCGTGTACCTGTAATTCGGTGAGGTTGGGCACATACTGGTTCTGCTCTCCCATCAGTAAGTCGATGGCAGGATGTCTGCCGTCCCTGATCACAATCTGATGTTGGCCCTCACACACCTCTGGCCTGAACATGACAAAAAACTCAGACAATCTGATCGACACAAATCAAACTTGATCACACATAAACACCTGAGACACACACACATACATATCAAGAGTCACGTTATCATTGACACAGACACCGAAGGCCATGAAACTGAAAACCACCACAATCAATTTTCTTTTCTAAAAATAAGCAAACAAGTGCATGAGGATAACTCACAAATGAAGTTATGTCTGAAGCATATCAATTAGAAATTGCTGAAGTGTTGAGCTGTAGAGACTTTTTTTTGCTTAATGCAATTTTCTTCCTTTCTATTATCTCATATTTAAATATTTTTCATATTTGACTTTTTGTTTGCTAGATGTGATGTGTTTTCACATGTTTTTAACACAGTAGATGTTATGTAAAGCACTTTAAATTGTGTATGAACGAGCTCGCTCTATAAAAGAACCTGCCTTGCCCTTTTCGCTTTATTTACAGCTGATTTGACTTTTCTTAAGCCGGATAGAAATGTAATTGATAAAATACGAAGTCGCCTTAAAGATTTCATGAAAAAAATGAAGACATTTTTAAGGTAAAGATATTTTTTAACTTCAACAGCATACTATACTATTAAACATTTGGAAAGGTAACAGAACATGTATGTATGTATGTAACAGAACAGAATATGTCCCTGTTTTGTTTTTCTGTATTTTCTTTCTGCAAAATTGCCAAAACCCAGTCAAACAATATTCACCAGTGATAACATGATCTTTGCCATTAGCATTGGCTTCGATTTACCGGCCATGCTCTTGGTAAATAAACTAAATATAGAGACACAAATACAAAGAGCAGATGTTTCCCTTTAAGGACTAGTTTGGTCTTATTTTCATCACATTTTGCTTTCTTGAAAAAAGAAAAAGGATGGCAGTGTCACTTCATAAAAACTGTATGCACATGATTGGAAAAAATCCTCTCTCTCCAACTTTGGCAAAAAGTTAAAGCAATCTATTTCCCAAAAATGTAAAAATGTAACATTTACTTACACCTAAAGTTGTGAGTAAATGTCAGAGAAAGGATGCAAACCAGAAAAGCAGCATTTGTAGTGAGTTTAACATCGTATCACATCAAATAGTATTGAAATAGGGGCAAGAAAAAAAGGGGACGAGGCAATAAGACATGGATGGAAGCTAAAAGACAAAACAAGAGACAAAGATAATGTAAAGGCGGCACTTTTGTGTTTGTGTGTGCGTGTGTGTGTGTATGTTTGTGTGTGGGTGTCCTGTGTCGTGTCCTATAGTCTGAGACAGGCTGTGTGTGGGAGTGTACAACAAGCTCAGCAGCGTGCTCAGCCAGAACGCCAACATCTCTCCCACACACCCACACACACACACACACACACACACACACACACACACACACACACACTAAATACACACACACACACACACACAAAATATCCCACTCACAAATACTAACTTACATTTATGTATGCACACATACGCACATAGGTGGGGATATTTAGGGTCATCAAGAGAGGACTTCACCTGCAGTAGTCTCCTTGTTTGGCCACCTCGGCCAATGAAAAGAGACAGTCAACGGTTGCTAGGTGACTAATGGCCGTTTTCATGGTGTGATAGTGCTCCCCAAACTGACTACAGTGAGAGAGAGAGAGAGAGAGAGAGAGAGAGAGAGAAATTGTCAAGTGTAAATTAAGGTAAGTGCATTCTGTGTTCCGACAAGAAAGCACTGATGGTTCACTCGACTAAAGCAGACTAATTTTGATTGACACTTTTTTAGCAGCACTTTCATTTGAGTTTACTATCATGCCTGTGTGTGTGAGAATGTGTATCTGTGTATCTTTGCATGTGTCATACTCCAGGAAATTGGTCCACTCCCTCTGGCAGTCGAGCAGCAGCTGCTCTCGGAGCTGCAGCAGCCTCTTGTAACACTCCACCAGGAAAGGAGAATGATACCTGCTGACAGCTTTGGTGCTGCAGAGGAGAGGAAGGGAGAGGTGTTGAGCGGTTGAGGAGGAAGAGAAAAAAGATGGATTGAAGTTAAAAATGACCAGATATTTCATGTAAACTGAAAGAAAGTTATAGCAATCATTGTCTATATAACACAAACAAGTAGAGTGACTACCACAGACAGATCTTATCAAGAAGTTAAAGGCCCATTAAATGGCCATTGTCACTTTTGAGTATTAGCTATCCTTTCATTCTTGTTACTGGCCACTTGACAATTCTAAGTCAAATATTCACATCCCCTTTAGGGCTGTTCTGCTCACCAGCAACACCCACGGGAAATATCGGCTCGGCACTGTTTTCATCATCTCATTGCTGCCTTTGTCGAACTCCAATTTAACACTGGCGAGCGGGTTACAGAGTATAGTGAGTTTAATCAGACTTTCTGACTGAATTAAGCTGCCTGTGTTTTAAACATTGTGACTACATTTATTCCATTCAGTCCTCCTTCATTTTTAGCCCAGTGGCCACTAATGGTACTGCACCAAACATTTTCCCTACATCCAAAACCATTTTTATAAAAGAGACATCTGTTAAACTATGATAGGACTTACCGGTGAACTGCAAATAATTCCAATAAAACATCTATATAATTGATCCATTAAGTAAATTAAACATCTGTGAGCCACTAAAACTGTGACTGAAAGCCTGTGAAACTCTCACATCCTCCATAGACTGAGAGGTAACTTGCGATCAGGGTCATTGGAGAAACACTACGATGCATATAATATATAGATATTAAAACTTTTTTTGGCCAGCTAAGCATTTCATATTAGTTTTTGGGACCAGAATATGTCCATGGAAAGAAAACAAGTTGAAGGAGAGCAGTAAGAGTGAAAAGAACCAGAATATTTGAGAGCTGTAACCACAACAAAGACCATACTACATGCTTCATTTCATTTATAATAATGATTAAAGCAGCCCAAGGTATTCTAGATTAGTTCTAAATCACATAGGGAAAAAGCTCAAAGCAACACGATGGAAAAAAAAAATCAGATTTTTTTTGCAACTTAAGGCCCCGAGTTTCAGAGTCCACCTGCTCTCACCAACAGTGAGACAGTAACAGTGTGATTGACTCTTCTTTGGCCTCTTGCCAGGTCACTATCTTTTTATCTTATCTTATCATGGTGTCCGTGCAGAAAATACTAAAAATTAGACCATGTTAGGAGAGGCTTGATTTCAGGGCTCTCTGTTAGAAAGCCTTGCCCTAAAGCAATAGCTACTTCTGGCAGGAGATGGTTCCTGCTCCTCTGGACAGATACAGAGCAAGAAGAGGCACACATAGTTTTTTTTATTAGTTTTTTTATTTGAAAGTTGCATAATGTTGCTTTAAAAATATTGTCTGGCTACCTGTAGTACAAGATGCATTTGCTGTAGCATGTTGTCCTCGAGTAGAAATAAAATATGAATATCAATAAAACAGCGATCATGAAAGGTGGAACTCGATATACTTTTCTAAAATACACCTGCCAATCCAGTCAGAAACATGTAATACCCCTGCTTCTCTTTCATATGCTACTCAGAGAACCAGGGTTATGTAAATAACCTTATGTTTTATAAGTCATTTCTATTACTGCTTCTATTACTTCTCCTACTTCCTTTTTTCTATCTTTCATTTAAATACACAGCCAACTATTTAATGCTTCCCTTTACATTGTTCAGTACAAAAAAAAGTACTTTTCAATAGTTTTATGCAGTTAAATCTTAGATGACACTTTTAAATAATCAAGATTGCATATATCTGGTTGAAAAGTACTATTCAGTATTCAGTTTCACAGGGCTAGTTTTACAATGAAACTCAAACAGTGCCATTATCATATCATTTCAGAAACTGACTTAATACATGATGTGACTGTTTCTGTGTTTTGTCTTCTGATATTTGTGTGTGTGTAGAAGTGTGTGTGCTGCAACTGTGGCTCACCTGCTGATTTTGACCCAGTCAGGGGGAACAGTGGATGACAGGGAGTTCTTCACCTCGATCAGAAACTGAGGGCAGATCAGGAAGAGGGGGAGGAAGACTTCGATCAATCAGAAAGGAGCAGACAGACGAAGCAAAGAGCTGACATGTACACTGACACAAACACACATGTAGACTTCAGATAAACTTCATCACACCAATGTGATTCAGTCTCCCACTACAACTACATTCTGGACATCCATCTCCTGCCACATGTCTCTTACTCTCAACCCCACACACACACACAAAGAGGCTGTAGGTACCTCCAGTCCAGACACTGTGGTGTAGTCGAATGCCGGGGCCCTCAGCGTCTGGCGGACTTCTTTGCGATGGTCTTGAATCTCCTTTAGGACGGTCTGAATCTGATCCCTCCTCTCCTGGATCACCGGGAAGCCGGACAGATCTGAGAACAGCTCCGTCTTATTCCCCGACCTTTAAAGAAACGTATGACTGCACTTATTCTGAAATAAACCTGAAGGTTGTTCTACCTGTTGAGGGAAAAATCCCCCTAAGCTAGTGCCAGGTTCTTTTCTGTGGTGACCTATCCATCCTCTGAATGTCTATAGTGTGGTGTGACAGTTCATAAATCCAGTTTATTTTAGGGGCAAATTTTGTTTTACTGAGGTGTTTTGTTCTGGTTATCACATAAAAATAACTGAACTTAAGTACCTTATGTCAACTTATCAACTGAAGTATTTCTGTATTTACCATAAAACACTCTTTGTGGCAATAAAACTGAATAAATACATCAATTGAATCCAATTAAATCCAAAAAATAAGTTGTAAAATCCATACAAAATCAAATAATACATTAAAAACATCCCTACTCCCTAAATCCAGAGAGGCGTCTGTATACAGGCGAGAAGTTTTGAACAGTAAACCAGTACCGACTACTTTGTGTATGAACATTCCTAACTTTTGAATATCTTTTCACTTTTTAATTAGTTTTGTCCTGGAGATTTTCTTTCTTCACTCCTAAAAAGTTTTTGTGATGCATTATATTTCAGATCACTTTATTGCATTTAAAACGTTGTCTTGGCTGCTTATGCAGAACACAAAATAAACTACCACCTTCTTCATGCTGCAGGATACTCACTTGGCGGCTTTTTCATTGAGCACTTTGAGGAAGCTGTGGGCCGGAGCCAGCAGCTCAGGGGAGTCCATGAGGAGACCCCGGAGCAGCACTGAGCTGATCTGAGACTCGATAGCAGGGAGCAAGGCCTGCAGTCCAAGCCCCAGGCGAGAGAGACTGCTACTGACGAGGTAAAACTCCTGTGTGGAAGACTAGAACACAAGTGAAAAACACATGCATGATCAACTTAATACAGCATAAAACAGAATGTTCTACATAGTGTATCTGAGCTGTAAGGCCAGCTGCCATTTGATAAGAATACAAATAGAAGTGAATTTAAAAATGAGAAAAAAAATATCTCCTTTATTGTTTGACAAAATGAAAATCATGTTCTCTGTAGTCCTTTGTGTGTGCGTGTGTGCGTGTGTGTGTGTGTGTGTGTGTGTGTGTGTGTGTGTGTGTGTGTGTGTGTGTGTGTGTGTGTTGTTGTATTAAAAAGGAATGGTGTAAGCAAGCAGGATTAGATCCCTAAATCTCATCTGCACTGGTTACAACAGCCAAGCTTAACGACAGACACACTGTGCGGGAGCTCTGACAAACACCAGTGATCAGCAGCAGTTATCATCCTCTTTAAAAAAAAGTGTAGACATCAGAGCAGAGCTGCAATAGTGAATCAATCAAAAGACAATAAACCACCTACTGCTTTGATAAATGATCGCTAATTATCATGCAGCAATGTCAAACAGTTACTGGTTTGAGCCGGTTAAACGTGACATTTTGCTCCTTAAGGACGTTAGGGCTGACATGAGACGCTAATCAAAGATGTCACTTTGGGCTGCAGGTTCTTCACTATTTGTTTGACATTTTATACACAGAAAGGTTAGGCATTGTCAGGAAAATAATGTGCAAATGTGTAGATATTAAAAAGAATTGTTATATTCTGCATGCTACAAAAAAGCTTCTTTACAACAATGAACATGTTTAGTATTTAGAGTCTCAGTCGTTGGAATCTTAATGGATGCTTTACATCACAAAGTGAATACGTTCTAGTTTATAATCCCTCTTAAATGGAGCTGGTGACTTCATTCTGAGCACAAGCTAATTTGATTTTTGCATGCATTTAAACTTCAGTTCCTACAATCAACGCTTTAGAAATATCACCAGTGATTATCTAACACGAAATCAAATGAATGATTTATCAACGCCCTTCACAGAAATACCTCGTAAGGGGGGTGATATTTGATATACCCTAGTATTGACTTGATATGGCCATTAGTGATGATGTCACAGATAGTTCCAGGTCATTAAAGGTTAATGAGAGTCACACTGAAACTAGTTTATTGTTTCAATCACACGCGGCACTTTTAATGGTCCCCTGTGTCAGCAGCCTCTGTGATGCTCTTTTATGAACCCAAACAGACTGCAGACCATAAGCATGTCCTCCCTCCCATTACTGTATGTCGATGGAGCCATAGAGACACAGGCCATTACGCACAGGCCCATTTATCTGCAGACGGGGTCGAATGACAATCAAGATCCCTGTGTGCGAGTGTTCACGTTCACTGACATTTGATTATTTTCCGTTGACAACATATGAAGGAGTGAGGACAGGAGACAAGACATCAAGCTCAGACCAGAGTGCCTCTCTCATCTCTGTGAAACACACACACACACACACACACACACATTTGTTAACAAACACACACAAGAGGTGAAGCCTTGTGACATTTCAAAAATGGGTCCGATGGGAAATGAGATTGTGTCAGACAATCAGGTAAGTGCCACTGAGGAGACTGCTCCCTGTTGTTAATCAAGAGCACGCCATGAAAATGACAGAGAGGAGAGAGAGTGTGTGGGGAGAAATTTAGAAGAAAGGCTGAAAACTGTTCCATATAATATGCAAAACAACAAGAAAGTGAAGGTCTGATTTGTACCACATGCAGCAAAACCTTTTATTTTGACCTTTTATCTGTTTTTAACTGTCATCACGTCCACGCCAACATGATCGCAAGAGACAGGAATAATTACCATCTCCTGAAAAAGAAGACACATTTCCCTGGTGGAAAAATGAAAACCCCTGTGTGTTTGTAAGTTACCTTTTTGTGATATATACTGCAGATACCTCTCTCCAGGTCAGGCAGATGAGACAACAGAGACCTGACAGAATTTAAGGAGAGCGAGTCTGACTGCAGGATCTCCTGCACAGCATCCTGCCTCTCTGCAATGGATCTGTGGGTTCATGGGAGAAAAGGAGAGTGCAGGAAGGGAGAAAGAGAGGAGAGAAATGTAGGACGTCGACAGGCAAAAGTCACACAGATGAAAAAAAAAAAAAAAACTTGCCAATCGGAGCTAAATTGTCGTGAATAATAAGAAACTGCTTTTCCACAGACGTTTGGAACAATGAACTGTCAAATAGCAGCTCGTTAGCTGTAAAAAATAAAAAACAATCTGTCAGTTTCTGAGGCCTGTTAGGAGCTGGAACAACTTCAAGTCAAACATGTGAAGAACATTTATATCGTTATTTTGTTGAATTTCTTCTTCTTCAACTTTCATTTTTTGCTATTTTGTGCTTTATGTTGCCTTAAAGGGAATGAAAAGTACAATACATGTAATGTCAAATTGATTAAGTCATATACTGTATTGTTGCACGTCCAAACGACATGGAACATTTGTCAACGAGTTTTATTTTTTAAATGTAATCAGACTTTTCTTGTCTATTTTCACACCTAATAATATATCATACGCATGATTTTAAAAGTCTAACTAGACAATCTGCTCCTAACCTTATCAAAGAACCCTTTATGTTCTCCATGTGGTATCCAGATCAGTGCTTCTCAAACAGTGGGTCGGGACCCAAAAGTGGGTTGTGGAGCCATTTACAGTGGGTCGTGAATGTGTGCTTGGAAAATAAATTGTGTCAAAAAAGTCTATGAAGAACGTATCTTTGTTCTGTTACATGCTTTGTACCATCTGAGGTCCAAACGACGTTATTTTCCATTTCACATAAATCTGAATGGTTGAAAAAAAAGATCAGTTGTTTTTGGCCGTGATTTCTCATTGGGGAGTTGGTTGTGGGTCCTGAAGCCAGGCCAGTTGAGAACCTTTATCTAGATCATCATATTTTGAATTATACGGGCCACAGACCTAGCTTTGTGTTTGTCGTGTTAGGATTGAGAGCAAGTTGACATTACATACACAACAGCAAAAAATACAATTATTCTGTGAACATAACATCTGGAAATAAAGGACAGAACAAAAGCAGATAACACTGTATGTTATGTGTTTTGGCTTGCGTGTGTGTGTGTGTGTGTGTGTGTGTGTGTGTGTGTGTGTGTGTGTGCGTGCATATGAATCAGTGTTTGTGCCATGTGCTGCTGCACTGTGTGTGTTGGATTTAATGTGCCAGGGTGTAATCTGGGTTTTATGATGTCAGATTTCTGGAGGGAATCTATCTGTATAATCTGAGAGCAGAGCCCAATCCACAGCCATAATCCCTACACTGGAGGGGGAGAGCACACACATACACACACACACACACACACACACACGAAGAGTGCGAGCATGCACACACAATCAATATATGGATAATAACATCCCACCGCAGGGCAGAGGACCACAATAGTCCTGCAGTGTTAGAATTTAGAGGCAGTTTGAAGCTGGGAGTGAGTTTCAGCGAGGTTTATTTTGTTTTATTTCTATTGTTCATCCTGCAGGGTCTCAGAACAGAGTAACATCTGCTCCACAAGGCTATCAACGAAATAATCAAGGGTTCAAATACAAATAAACTAGAAAGGTATAGTTTCATGATAAAAGTCATGTGACTTCTGAAGCTTATGTATGCAAGTCACAAAGCAGACACTTAGCTCAAGTTATTCAATTCCACTTAATTAGGAGTATATTAAAACGTTAATACCTTCTGCTTCTTGTTTTTATTTTATCATCGTGAAGAGGAATCTAATTATTCATTATACACAAAAACATTGCAGTCATTTCACAGCTCTGCCTTTCTCCTCTGAGACAATACAGTAGATACAAAGCTGGATGGTCTTTGGGGGGGGGGGGGGGTGTCTTTGCCGCAGCCTGTAAAAGCTGGTTGTACAACACATGTTTAGTGAAGATTCTCAACTGTCCTACAAGAGAGCCTGAAGGCAGCCTGGACGTAATAAAAACACATGGTGCTAATTAACATCTCTAATAGAGTTTATTCTGGACCTTGTGGCAATGCTGCATTAAGGTAATATGAAATTTATCTCAAAAAAACAAATCTTAATTATGACAAGGAAACTGATATCTTCCATAAAAAACCCAAATAATTCTGATTAGAACTTAATTATACTTAAATGTAATTTAAGAAATAGAATGTTTAGAAATATTGAAGCCTGCAGTTATTCAAACTCTGTAGTTCAAAACCCAACTTGGATTTGTCATTTTGGACATTTGGATGTTTTTTATCCTAACACATCCATCTTTAGTTATTAGATGACATTAAACACTTCCATATCGTAATGACTGGAATATAAACCATCTCTACCAGTCATCCCATTTGATGAGAAAGCAGCACGCTGTATGAGACGCTCAGGGAGTAAAACAGGATCGCTCTGGATAACCTCCCAGAGAAGATAAACTCCTGCTGTTCAGATTTTTTAATTTTTTTTTGTTCCTTTACTGTAAAACTGAAGGACAGAAGAAAGAATCTGAATCGGTTCGGCTCTGACAGCCGCGCTCCATCAAAGGTCCTGTACTCACTGCGGAGCTGTGAGGGGCTGGCTCACCCACTTCCTCAGCAGTCGCTTCCCAAACGGAGTACGAGTCTGGTCCAACACCCACAACAGACTGCCTTTCACACCGCCATCTGTCTGTCAAGGACAGAAAACACAAACACACAAACTGCTCCATTTGAATCTACCAAAACTCCCAAAAAAAACAAACAGCAACATTACAGCGACAGAATATAAGGGGAGAAGAGGTGATGAAAGCCACAAGCTGTTGGGTTGAGGAGGCTTGAACTGAGCTTGAGCCGTCACCCACGTAAGCCTGAGTAGTCAGAGAACTTTTACATGTGATTAGAGAAAAGATCATTTCACTCATTACATCTGCTCTTCAACCATGACTGTAAACTTAATTCTACAGAAATAATCTGGCCAGTCCTCACATGTATATTAGAAAGTATTTGAAGCAGAAAGTGTCTGTCTACTCGTGAAGCTGCTTGCCCGATCACAACGCTGTTATGTTCTGAAAGCTTGTCAAAATGGAAAAATTCAAGGCAGCTTTTCCCAGGCTATTTTCTTTACTGAGGTGAATGTAACAAACACCTCCACGTGCAGCTTTGTAACCGCTACACTCCAGCAGTAAATTGTCACTGGCATGTGTAGAGGATCACTCTGCTCTGAGCAGTAGACCTGGAACGTGATTGAGTCTGACCTAAGTCACATAAGTGAGCACCTACCTGAGTCAAGAGCTCCTCCCTGATTGGCTGAGGAAGGCAGGTATCAGAGTACACAATGTGTGTGAAACTGCACGTTGGTTAGTCTGTGTTTGTCATGTTTCATGAGGATACTTTCAGAAGAGCAAGTTATCAATTATTTCCCTAAAGAGTACCTCTGGTAATATACTCAATGCTTTTGATTTTATTATTGCAGTCAGTTTTATTAAATTATTTGTATCTGAGAAATTAAAATCTACTTATTCTTATTCACCCAGCACTCCCTGCAATCCCCAAGTACGACACATTGCTTAGTTGTCAAGCCAACAATGTTACCGCTTTGTGTTCCTCTCACCGACCTTACAGCATCATTTTCTGCTACAGAGCTCGAGAAACACACTTCATACTGTCTGCTCACCAGCAAGCAGCTAAGAAACGCAGCTAGCAACAAGCTGGTGAACGTGACGGAGCACCGAGCAGATAAAGAGATGGAGATTTCTTAAGGCAGGAGGTAGAAACACAAAACAGAGCATCACTTTAGACTGGACTGATTTTATTATTGAAAACTAAGACTGAAGAAGGATTCACATTCAACCATTGAGGTGGTCCAATGAGCCTCGATATGGTACAAAACAGTGGCCGACAGTAATGATTAGAGCCTCAGCGATTAATCGGCCAGCCAATAATATCGGCCAATATAAGCATTTGATGGATCAACACAATAAATGTGCATATCTATCTTAAAGATTTAACTCGTATTGGAATCATATTTTTTCTCTTCCTAATATCGATATCGGCCCCAAGAATCACAATTCAGCGATATCAGAGATAATAGATAATTTTACAAGAGGATCCTATAAAGATACATCGTGATTTGTGATCAACTGAAGAACATAAAGCCCCTAAAAAGGTCAAGTGCAGGACTCGTGTAATTATTCAGATCACTTAGTTTCATCTCTTAACTTCTCTTCACTCTTCTTCTTCGTCTTCTTTTATCTGTCGGCTTCTTCTTTATCTAACTAGTTACTGTTAAATCTAAATATCAAAATTTAGCACTAGTGATTTTTTGATTGTGTCACATGAATCAGAGCTATTTAATGCCCTGTCGATATTGTCCCACCCCTCAATGCTAGAATTCTGTAGGTGGCAGGTAATAATAACGTCTGCTACGTTGATCATCCAAGTCTAACAAGTGAATATTTGTCCATTAGCACCTAAACACAGAGCACTGCTGAGGATTTTGTGATGTTTAGAGTTTGCAAGTATTTCGACAGAAAGAAATAATTGAGTGATATTCTCACATGAAATGATCCTCCACAATCAAATCAACCAGCACAGTTAAGATGTGTAATATGACACTACATGCTATATCATGTGACAGTTGTACAACGTTTAATGATTCATATTATGCTCTGTTGATCAAGTTGTTGTGTCTATCTTGTTACTTTTGCAGTGCCACTATTTGAAGCAGCATTATTCATCACTTGGATGATGCTTTGCCTTTCCCCGTACTTCACAGATGAAGGCAGTAACGTTGCATGATGGCAAACCCAAACAAACAGAGGAACAGAGTGAACATGACACAGAAGCTGATCATTCTGTACAAAAGGACTCCAACGGCCAAGACAAAAATCTAGAGCCTGATGTCAGAGTTGGAAAACAATCTCACCCTGCAAATTATTCTACTGACCGGTGTCCAAAAAAAAAAAAAAGACACTGAACTTCAATAAATGTGCTATAAAGGATATATTGCATTTGTTCAATTAATATCAGAAAAGACGATTTTTGACATTCGCATGAGCAGCCTTAGAAAAACAATTGGTCGATCGACTGACAGACGGACACTTCCATCCGTTCAGCCACGACACAGAGCTAGAATAAATAAGACAGCAGCATGCCGCCTCCAGGCCACACCATGGAAATGAATAATTAGGCCGATTAATAATAAAGACCTGGTCTCAACTTCGACAAAACACACCATAAACATGAGTTTAAATAAGAAATGTTCCGATGCTGTGTGTCTTTAATGATCATTATAGACTGGTTTTAAAGACTGATTGATTGTAAGTTAGTTTGTAACATCTTCAGTATGACTTCTCTCCACACACTGGAGCCAGAGCTTTTGACGAGGCAGCTGTTGTTCTAGCCAACAAAAGATTAAAGAAGTTAAATTGTGTGCCACAGGAAGAAAGTGCTGATGTTTCTGTTTAACATTCAGATTAAGATCACAGTGCTCTGATGCAGTAGCAGAATAACAAAATACATTCATTCATCATTAAAACATGTCAGTTAAATAATCATTACATTTCATGTAATGTGTGAATTACTAAAAGCATAAATATGTAATAATTAAGAAAAGTAATGAACAGTGCAGGCACAGCTACACGTCTACACACTCATGGCCACAATCTCCCTCATTCATTCATACATATACAAACACTTTGCAGCTTAGGTGGTGTTGAGGGCTTGATGGACAAGGGAACAAAGGTATTTTTGAAACGGTTGTTCCTACCTAAGGCTGACAGTTCTGTTCCCTCTGACTTGCTGGGTGCAGTTAGTGAGAAATGAATGATACCATTTAATGACGAATGGATCAAACAGTAGTCTAGTGTAGGCCCTGGGATTCTCCAGATGTTTGGTGACCATGTGTACAAAGCTATTGACAGCATCATCAGTGCCTCTATGCTGTCTGTATGCAAATTGGTATGGGTCTAGCTGTGGGCATACCTCCGACTTCAGCCTACACACAGTTTTCATACATTTTATAACAACAGTTAAAGCAACTGATATCATTGCAGTCTTTAGGACATGGATTTTTTGGGACAGGTGTGATGACTGCCTTTTTCCACATTGCTGGTACAGTGTTTGTATCTACTGACCTCTGACAAAATTGGGCACCAAGCAGGTGTTAGTTCCTCCGCACACATCTTTAATAAAAATGCGGAAATGCCATCTGGGCGTGTGGCCTTGTCGACAGTGACACTTTTAAAAACATTTTCAACATCCTTGGGGTCAATTGAAATCCTATCTGCCCTGACAGTGGGAATGTTTTCCACACTTTAACATTCTGTAGATGTTTTTTAACATTCAGACACTCCTCTCCTCATCGTTATGACCAGAGACAATGAATACCAGCTGAAGGGTTCTTTTACCTGATTGTTGAGAATTTCCAGGTTTCGGAGGGTGGCGGCATTGAGATTCATCCCCTCTGACGCACAGGAGAGACGTCGAAATGAGCTACACAGAACAACACAGATGTTTAAAGTACAGTCATGAAATGATCAATGTATCCATTAGTGAGAGAGAGAGAGAGAGGTTTTAGAGTTTTATGATTGTAGTGACAACTTCAATCCAAGCAGGACTGTCACAAAAACTGCTCAAAAACTGAAAAAACACACAGACAAAAGACACCTGTATTCCTGTGAAGCATTAAAAAACGTAAAGGTCACATATTATCCTCCTTTTCATCAAGTTTAACAAGTCTCAGAGCTCCCCAAATCATATCTGTGAAGTTTCCTGCCAAAAATCCACTCTGATTCTGTATTTGATCATGAACCCCTCTATTTCAGCCCTGCTCAGAAATGGCTGTTTCTGTGTCTGTAGCTTTAAATGTAAATGAGCTCAGTCTGACCACGCCCCCTCTCTGGAAAGGTTTGGGTGGTTTGTGCTTTCTTTCAACATGCCCTATTGTTTACGGTGAAAAGGCAGACTTAGAGGGCAAAACAAACACCTAGATGTGGGAGTGTCACCCACCTGGGGGAGGGGTTACTGCCCTCTGTGATGTCACAAAGGGGAAATCTGAAAACCGCCTGTTTGAGCACACACTTTCTGAAAAGTGAAGCAGGTAAAACACAGAGAGGATGGACTTTTCCCATTATTGGGGCCCTTATATGGGACAATTAATTATTCCAGGATTAGGGCTGAAAATAACTTACAACTATTATTATTGCAAGAAAGACTTCCCAGAGTCCACAGTGCTGTCTTCTAACATTTGTTGTTATAGTAATGTAGACGTATATGTTATTATTTCCAGATTGTTCAACCAGAAATATTAAACCCACAGTTGCTCAGTTAACTAATTAAAGCATAAAAAGCAGCAAAGTTTCATACTACTGCAAGGAAAAGTGACTGTAACAGGCACTCCATTACAAATATAGTAGTAGGAATAATAGTACTTTCTACCTATTGCATTCTCAGCTACATTCTGGACTTCAATGACAATGAAGACTACTGGGTATTGTGTTTTTGTGTAACCAGAGTGTGTGTACTTTAGTCTGCAAGTACCTTTCACTTCTAAGAACTCTTTCCAGATTGAATTCTTGAAGGTAGTGGATGAGCGGCCCCAGGCAGCAGATCACAACACCCTCCAAGGACGCCACATTGGACAGAGAGCGAGAGCCTGGAGGACGCAGACACACAAACATGACACACATTTTACAATGTAGGCAAAGGCCCAGTCTTCACATACATCCAGGGCTTTTCAGTGGAATAGCTGTCTTGGTCTCGATAAATGTATATATAAGACGGGGAAAAAAAAGAAGCAAATGGAGGAACAAACACACACCTTTCTCCTGGCTGTGGCAGTAGAACTCTGTGCATGTGTTCATTGCTGAGGCGAACTCAAACTGAGCGCTGTCCCTCAGCTCGACTCTCACTCGGTCATCAGCCTGAGCACTGGAGGACAACAAGATGTCAGACTGCTTGTGTCTGTATAAACTGTAGGAAACACACCATATGATATCCCTGTCTGAGATTTTTTTAATATATACAACAAACCTGCTACATATATATCTGTGGTTTTTGTTCACTTAGACTTTATGGTCACACGTGCAAAACACACATACATATACACAGCTTTCACTGCATCTCCCTGTAGCGCCATCGCATCTCTCTATCGCTCCATTCACTTTCTCTATATTGCTGCTTTCAAGGATGCAGTTGCTTTGTTCGCTCTGTTGTTGCCAGGGCAACCAAGGTAAACACGTGGCTCTGGACCCAGTGCTAGAGAATTTCCTTATTCTGTTTTATAATGCTTAAACACACACACACACACACACACACACACACACACACACACACACACACACACACACACACACACGAACACACACACACACACAAAAGAATCATCATGTTTCACCTCACGGTCAAATTGGGAGTTAATGCTGTATGAAAGTGATCAATAAAGAGCATTTTTGTGCAGTAAAACTGTGATCATTAATCACTCTAGCAGTCAGTTCAAGCACATTATGAGGTTTACATCAACAATGACAATTGCTTGTATTGATCCAGGGGCAGGGTTGTGCAGTGACGCATTTCTGCAGAGCCATGACAGGACCCAGCACTATGAAGCTGTGTCTAAGAATGTTTTACTCTGGTTTCAGAAGCATAAAGAAATGCAAAGCCAGGCACTGCTTCAGGCTTATGCAAACAAATGACCATGGGTTTAAGTTGTGCTACTAACTCATGTCAAATGAAAGGGTTGGTTAACTTTAAACTTTAAATGATAAACATATTCTCAGTGGCTGAGCGGTTAAACAATTGATTTGGTTTTCGTCCTGTTAAGTAAAAGAATGTTATTTTTTTAAATGTCAGTAGCATCGAAAAATCCCATTTCAACTTCAGTCTACAGCTTTTGCTGCTGGCTGTTAAACTCCTTTTAGAACCAAGCACAAAACATGCACGTCTATTCATGCTTAATTCTGAAGTAAGGATGTTAACTTGCACACAACTATAAGCTAATAGTGTGTGTATAATATCTTCAATGTTTATCGTCTTAGTTCGGCAAGTTAGCATGCTAGAAGTAAGCTATAGACTTCAGTTGGTTATTAGTAGTAAACCATGCATCCTATCGGTACCACAAATTTCTATATAACATTTTATAGAAAACCTCAATATGGTGAGCCGGTTTGCTGAGTGATTAGTTTGTGCGCCCACATCAAAGCGTACAGCTCAGTTTCGAATCTGACCTGTGGCTCCTTTCACAATATGTCATTCCCCATTCTAGCTCACCCCAAGTCTCAACTCCATCCACTGTCCTGTGGCATCAAAAGCTCAAAAATAAATCTTAAAAATAAAGAAAACCATAATACAGTTGTTGAGATATCTCATTCAAAATCCATACATCTAAACCTCATGATGGTGCAAAGTGGAAAGAGAAGGAACCACCAAAGTCATTGAAATGAAACCTCTGTGGAGCAAAACATTTCTGCACAATACTTTTTGCAAATCAATTACAGAGATGTTGAGATATTTCATTAGATAACATGTTAATTGCTGGTGGTGCTGGATGATAAATCAGAGCATTACCTCAGTGAGTCAGTAACACTCATCCTGCAAACAATCAAGATAGTATTCCTTCAAAGGTTTTACAGTTATCAATGTTTACACAGTGGCTGAGAGATGATGATAAAGAGATGCTGCAGTTAGTAATTACAGACAACAATGAAATCTCAAATGTGAAAAATGGAATTCCTTTTGCCTCCACTTTATTTTGGATGCAGCTAATAACTCAGATATCTACTAAATTCACGTCTTTCATCACAGCTCGACACCATTACAGATTTGTTACAGGGGGTTTCACTCTTATTGCAGCGTTGAAGTATTGGATGTTACACATTTGTTCTTTTGGATCATTTTAAAAAGCTCAGAGCGCTGTTATGATGATCATTAATCAAAAGAAAGGACAGCTAAAGGTTAAGTTGCAGATGTTGCGACCCACAGATCAGAGGTTAATGTTCACAACAGATTAAGGTCCTTGATTAGTATCTATTGCTGCAGCAGGGTGGACACAAAGCTCTGAGAGCGGCCATGGAAATCCATCCTCATGTGAAACAAATGATGTCTTCTGGTGCGCTATGTGTGCTTGTGTGGATCTATCCGGAGGCATGTCTCCTTGTGTGTCCTACCATACATGCAGGATGTTATTTTGACTTGGAAAAAGCGTCATTCATTAATTTATAATCAAGGAAGTGATAGCATTTTGGGTTGAAAGAATCATCTGGTGAGTGTTTCAGTCACTCTAACCCCTTAACTGCTCTGATCCTAACTCATGACTCCAGGCTGAGAATGAGTAAAACAACCAATAATACACCTAGCTACTACCATTCTCCCTGGGACTCATTACCTGCCGCTCCATGGACACATAAATAAATCCTGTTGCCAGGGGGCCCGTCTCGTCAGCCCACCCAGGGGACACAGAGGCTGTCGAGCTAACGTCAGCAGCCATAAAAATCCTGTTTTAAATGTTCATCCCAGTTCTTCTAGCTGTAGTATTTCTTAAAGGGTTGGAGTGGCTTTACTATGATGTTCTGTCTGATATCAATAAAACATCTTTTTTGGAACATTGATGGAGTTTAGGAGTTACACTCTCAATTCGATGAATCCTGAACGAGGAGAGAACTATCATGAAGGAGAATATCTTGGAAGGTTTTAAGTGATGAATAATAATAGTCATGGGCCTGGCAGAGTGAATATTGTGTGTGCATATAGACGTGATCAATTTTCTTTCTGAGCTTAGCGGACAAAGGTGCACTGTATTTGTAAGATTCAGGCTACAAATTGAGATGAGCCTTGTCTCTGAAGAGCACAACGCTAGAGAGCAGTGATGGCAAACACAATAATTGGGCTGCCCTTTACACGCCTATCTCAGCTATAATCACTCAACATGGTCGGCTGAAGAAAAGGTGAAGAGGGAGAGAGAAAGACAGAAAGGAATGAATACAGATTAATCCAATTTTCCTAGGACGAAAAATGAATATAAAAAAAAAAAATCAAAATGAGAAATGTGGACCATCCCATTCATCCAACCACATCCTTTCCTGATCAAATCAGCTCAGCTCCCCCTCCCACTCCCTTGTTTCATTTTTACAGCTTAGCAAAAAATCACATGCAGACCCCGGAGGACCGGCACCCAATGTTGAGAACACGCTGCTTGCAGGCTGTCAGCAACAGGTTTAATGAATACACCAGTACAAAGTCAGAGTTGCTGGCACTGTTAGTCACCAGACGAACAAAGGGAAAGGATGTAACTGGTTTTGATCTTGCAGTTCACCCTGCTGACTGAACGCAGTAAATGAAAGTCTGTATCTGTATCTGTCTCAGTTGAAGCTTGTTAGTCCAACATTAACGCTGACGACTCCCTGTTGAAGCTCGTGTGCTCATGCTGAGCTCATGATTTTACTGCAGCCTAATGTCGACAATCAATTTCACTGATGGTTTGAGCCTGACTGTGAATACTCATCTATGAGTAGTCTACAAAACAACACTTAGGTAATCCAGGTGAATAATACAAGATTAAGCTTGCTGTTCACATTCCTCATGTTTATATTAGGGCCTGACCGATATTTTTGGGGCCATTACCAATATTGACACTGGGGAGGAAAAAAGATCCAATTCTGATATAAAGGCTGATATCTTTCTTAGAGATAGATAGATATAGATTTACACATTTATTGCATGGATACTGGAAAGGAACAGTGCATGTGCATGCATCACCACTTGACACTCTGGAGGTTTATAATGTTTGTTTTGATCATGTAGCACACTCTGCTGGTGACAACCAGAAAGCGTTCTGCTCGTGTTATTCAAGGATACTCTAAAAATGCTATTTGACTAGTGAATAAGTCTTTTAATATCAGTACATATCTGCGATAAAATGGGCCGATAACGATAGTCACTGGACATGATAATATTGGCCGATATTATCATTGTAAGTTAAACCTCTTATCATGCTTCTTCCTTCTTCTTCTTTTCACTGCTGTATGACAATATCCTGCTCTTCTTCAACTTGTATCTGTCTGTCAGTAAATTAAAATCTATCATTTCATTCATCTATCCATGTCACCTTTCCACCAATCATTCTGCATTCCATAAACTTCTAAATAAACTAAATACATTTGAAGTGTTGTAAAGAAAATCTTATGTTCATTGTAGAACTGGGATATGTTTTACATCTATTGACAAATGCAGGTTTGACTCTGTTTAGCGCTGCAGTCAGAGGAAGCCAGAGTGCTGCTGAGGGCTTTAATCAAATCACCTCAGTGAACCACATTGATTTCCTCATTCAGACCATTCCACAAGCTCTGGAATGAAACAGACTGTACTGAGTGTACACAGATAAGCAAAGTAAGGTAGATAGTAAAGATAGTCAATGGGTCAATACTGCCCCCTAGTGCCCAGACAGCACATTACCTTGCATTTGCAATGCTCTGCAGGAGTCTGTGGGTTTGTTCTGAGAGGTCAGAGGGCACAAGAATCTCCACAGGGCTGATCTTTAGGACACGAGCCTCTAGCTCAGAGCGAGACTGACTATCAGGGAAACAGTCCAGTAACACGTCTCCTGTGCTGGGCTGAACTGCCTGAACAGACACACAACAATTTAGGAAGGTCAATCAAACAGTAATACACTTTTTATATAGTGAATTTGTGAGAATGCATGTTAAGAAACAATGAATACTTTTAATTAGGTAATGAAAACATTATAATATTTCAAAAGTATTGTTTTCTTTTTAACATAGCTGATACCAACTCTAAAATGTATTTCATGGATCAATTATTGTTTCACTTTATTCTCAGTAACAGGGCTGGGTTATATATTACAGCACATGTTATTTTCTGATATTGTTATGCATGCATACCATTTAGTTTCTCGTATTTGCAATCCAAAGCAAATCCCCAATGGATGTGCCATTTGGGGGAACTTGATCACATTAGTTTGAAAGACCACAGAGGTTTAATGGAAAGAGAATTTGTTTTAAACAGGATCAGGAAATGTCAGACAACTGACCAAATTCCAGTTTGTGCTGTATAACATCAACAGATACGATAATGTCACCTCATCAACTTCTGTGAGAACTAATGAAAATTGTTCATCAGTGTGTTTGAATGCAGTTCTCAGCAAACTCACCACCAGCCCAACAGTGAGCTGCTTCTTCAGTTTGTCCCAGTTCTCACTGATACACAGCAGGAAGCTGTCAGGAGGGTCCGACACCACATCTCCACAAGCCCCCTGCTCCCCTTCCCCCAGCCTGCAGACGGGGTTCACATCTACAAAAAAAACTGTCAAGGAAAACGCTTCATACAAACAGAGAGAGAAAACACTTTTTAAGGACTCACAATAACAGACACTAACAGCTTGTCAGGATACCCTCTCCCACCAGAGTGGACTTGGTGTACAGCGCACTGAGCTGACGACTGAATAGAGCATTCTTATTGGCTCCTGAGGCCTTTATCGCAGACGTCTCTGTTTGTTTTACTACACCCACCTAAAAAAACAAAAGACAAAAATAAATAAGGACAAACAAAAAAAAAACACACGTCCGATCAGCTTTAAAATAGGAACTGGTTGTTTCATACCTTGTGTCCGTGAGACACCAACCGTCGTACATGAACAAACAGACGGTGTGTGGGGATGCTGCACGTCATGAAGTTGTGATCCAGATGACAGAAGATGTTTAGCTCCTTTGCTGCGATCTGTTCAAACACACACACAAGTTTATTTCCAGAAGGATTCTAAATGACTCTTGTGCAGGCTTTTAAATACCCCTTTAACCTTCCCCTTCATCCCTACCTGTTGACCAGTTGTGATGTCAGACTTGTTAGACACGCCTTCACCTCCATGTTACCTGGCCAACAAACCAGCCCACCTTGCATGTGCCCTATTGGCTGATAAACACATACGTGGAGGCATTTGATTGGTTGTCCCTACCTTTTTTTTTTTTACCTTTCCTTCAATTGTGTACCCACCCTATTTAAATGATGTTTGTTAATCTGTTTCTTGATGACCCTGATGAAGGCCACGAGCCGAAACGCGTCGGTCTAAATTGTTAATAAAGTTGATCTTCTTACTACAAGTGTTGCTGGAGCATTTTGACCTCTTCCAAACACACACACAGGCAAGAGTGTTTCCTCAACCTCTTCTTCCTTCCATTGATGAAATCATTTCTGACATGTTCTTTTAAGTTAAATTGTGGGTCTTAAAGTAATGCACATGAAAATAACATTTTAAGAATTAAGTGCTAAAAATGTTTAAATCCAAACTATAAAAATCTTTGGGGGGGGGGGGGGGGGGGGGCAATGTTTCATTTGCAACTTCAACTTTAATAATGTTTGATCACTATAGAAAAATGCATGTTCTCATGTATTTTTTTTAAGTGGTTGAAATGACTTTCAAAGCACTTGGACAAGTTTTCTGAACAGCTTTTGAACGGTAACTTCCCTGAAGGGCATCTGTAACATATATGGTTTCTGGCTCTCACCTCGGCATCGTCTCCAAAGAACCGGTACTTGTACCCACACTCCACAGCCAACAGCACATCTTTATGCTGCTGTTTCAACTGGATGACCTGCTGTTCCAGGGGAGTGTATGTGCTCTTTGAGCGTCTGGAGGGGGCGCTAGAGTCTGCTGGAGGACTAGGCTCTGAACACCTTCTATCATCTCCTCTTCCTCTTGCTCCTTCTCCTGGCTTGGCAAACTGGGAAAAGCGGAACGCCTGTGAAAAGAAAAAATACATTTCTGCTTCCTTCTCAAAGCTTTAGTTCTCTAGTTAAGAGTTCCTTAACTTAAAGTTTAGTTCCTTTAAGTAAGGACAGAAGACATTTAAACTTTTAAACTTTAGCCTGAGTTGCATATATCATATATGAAACTGTATTGTGGGCTCATGGGTGGGATATGTATGTATATGTGTTGTGTGTGTGTTTGTATGTATGCTGGCTGCTGGAACACCTATATTTCCCTGCTGGGATGAATAAAGTATATCTTATCTTATCTTAAGCTGTCATGGCGCTGTGCGAGTTGCGACTAGCATTAAGCGGTCTCCTTGGTTGTATTTCATCAGGTTGTGTTGCCCTGTCCTGTGTATCTTTACTTGTTGAGTTTTTGTCCACTGCTGTAAATCAAAATCAAAAAATGCATGTGAAGCCAAATTTCATTTCATTGAATTGCCAAGACATTATACAACAATATGGTGAAACAGACTAACTCTAACTCTTGGCATGATGGTGACCAAACATTTTACTAAATAGTCTTAGGTTATTACCTACATTTGATGTCCAAGCAGTATGAATTAGATTACGTCTAAGAAATATATTTTCATTGTGCCCATGTTGTTTCTTTTAACTTGTGAAAACAGTGAAGAACTTGGGACCAGGGACCGGCCTTAGGATGCAGGGTGAATACATTCTCTGATCACAGAGGGATTGATGTGATGGAGCCAACATTTATATTTCTTACCTGTCTTGGAGCAGACAGCCCTGAACGCTCCTGTTTGTTTTCCTGTTCTTTTTCCTCCTCTTCTCCATCCTCGTGCACCTCCTCTGTCAGCTGCCTGTTTTGACTGCTATGTAGATCTGTTTTGTCCGGACGAGGAAAAGTGCTGCTCCCTTGGTCACATATTTCAACACTAGCACCTTCTGTCCTCGTTTTCGTCCTTTGATCAGCACTGTGCTCAACACTGAAACTTTTCAGCTTCTCCAAGGTAGAGGAGCAGAGGCGGTCTGCTCTTCGAGGTGATGACAGCGTGCTCTCTAAAGAGACAATAAAGTTATTTGTGATTATATTGTTAATACATCGATATCCCAATTGTTGATAACATACTCTTTTGTTTACATTAACTTCACCGGGCATATATTTGTGCATCCAGCCGTGAGACTGATATTGTGTCATGTTGTGGCAATCTGTGGTTAACTTTTTCATCTTAAAGAAATCATGCACCCTAAGAAGCAATAATTGAAACTACTCAAACGTGCAGCATCATGAATAAACATGAACACAGTTTATGATGCATAGTCTTACCTTTAGTGCTTTGACAGGAGGCCGCATCAGAAACTAAATTCACCCCCACTTGCTGGTCTTGTAGAGAAAGCTTGGCTCGTTTTGTTGGCAATCCAAAATCCTCATTAGGGGAAAGTTTTTGCTGCAGGACAAAGGCACTTAAAAGTTCAAGAATTCGCTTTAATAGAATCGTATTATCTGAATGAGTGTGTGTGTGTGTGTGTATGTGGATTATTACAAGTGCACACCTCACCTTGCCTCTTGAGACCTGGTGTACTGCAGGATTTGGATTAATCCCGCACTGAGTGTTGGAGGCACTGCTGCTGCTCAGGCCTCCGAAGTACTTGCTAATGGAGGTCTGAGTGTTGCAGGACTTCTTCTGAGCCTTTGGCATGTTTATAATTCGCCCTTATAATAAATACATTATGATCAAAATCTATGGAAATCTGTGCAGACCACAGACTGTAAATATTACGGTTGCAGACACGCAGCTGGACGAGGGCAGCGAGAGAGAGCTCAGTTTACCCGGCTTTTCAAAACACAGCGGCGCATGTGCTGAGATCACTCACAGGCGCGTAAATGACGCAACCAGCGTCAAGCCAATCAGGAGACACGGATGCTTTCAGTTTACAGTTTTTAGAAATGAATCGCCAGTGCTGACAATTTGAATCAACATTGTGCCGTTTTTTTTGTGTGCACTTTGTCAGATTGCAAGTGCCGTCTACTGGATGTCCTGTAGTGAATTATCTTCTGTGATGAAATGCAGCCCTCACAACAAACAGAAGAGCTGTCGTATTTAAACCTATGATTTAAACTGGGTCAAAATCTGGACTGCCTGGTATTCACGCTCAAGCGCATGGCTTTGAACATTTGAATCTCTCTTTTAAATACTATTTCACATAGTTTCATCATATTGTTGTGCTTTCATTATGAAACTTGTTATTTTTCTTCCTGTTTCGCTGTGTTTAAACTAAGAGGGGTCACCGGTGTGTCGGTCTAAAAAAAGCACGACCAATGTAATACTTTCTAGGCATAATAGTGTGCAACAAAGTTATGCAATAAAGCTATTACAGAGCCATGATTTCTGTGGGGGAAAATGCCTTTATTACTTAACACTCCAATCGAGAGCCGATTAACATATCACATCAGAGTGTTTAAAACGACGACAGAAACAAATGCTTGTTTGGGAGCGATTAGTGAGTTACTTCTCTCACTACTGAGAATGATTATATTAACTACACAAATGTAGGCTATCCATTTAAAGTTGATCAACTATCCTAATTTAGAACCAGTCAGATGCTGGGATCTTTATGTGTAGGCCTAGACGAGGCCAGTGATCAAACAGATCACACTGTCTATAGGGGTTATAGGAGGTCAATGGTTAACAAATGAATCAGCGAGTAAGGTCACTTTATGTGAAAGTTTTCCATTAGAGTTAAACTTCTGTTTCAAACACATGGTCCATGACTTGAGTTTGTGTTACTCTGTCTACTGACAGGGTGCAGGTTATTTAGAGAACAAACAGGAGGAAGTGGAAGTGCTTGTGTGTGCATGTCTAGATTGCAAATTAGGGAAGTGTAAATGTTTGTACATACATGTGAACATTAGTCCCATAACCTTTTTTCTTTATTTACCCCCCACAAAAAAAGGTATTTGCTACCTGTGTTACGACTGGGCATGAGAGTACGGACTCAAAAAAAATCACGACTCCTAACACAGAAGCACAATCCAAACAGTTCTTTAATTGTGCAACAAAAAAACACAATGTCAAAAGGTCAGTGGAAGTGAGTGTCCAAAAAAACCTCAAGGGAGAGACGACAACGAGCAGGCAGGCCAAACAAGAATAATACCAGAGAGATATTGTATACTCAGGCGACAAGTGCTGAAAGACCGGAATAGATATACTGCTGATGATGATTTAGATTGTCTGCACCTGGGCTGCCTGCGGAGAAAACCACGCCCACCTGCCCTCACATGGCACTTTTTCAAACCAAACCCATGACCAAACTCTACACCCTCCCCCTCCGTGACGAAGTCACACTCGCAGCTGAGTGAAGTCCCCTTCATCAAGGTCCACATTACTCCTGTGTTGGTTTCTCTGCACTGGCTCCCTATAAAATCTAGATTAGAATTCAAGATCCTTCTTCTCACCTACAAAGCGCTAAATGGCCAGGCACCATCTTATCTTAAGGAGCTACTAGTGCCGTACTATCCTTAGAGAACATTACAGTCCCAGAATGCAGGCCTGCTAGTGGTACCTACAGTCTCTAAATGTACTGTGGGAGGTAAAGCCTTCAGTTATCAGGCTCCTCTGCTCTGGAATCATCTTCCAGCCGGGGTCCAGGAGGCAGACACAGTCTGTATTTTTAAGAATAGACTTAAAACTTTCCTTTTTGATAAATCTTATAGTTAGTGCTGGTGCTGGTGTAGACCAGCTCTTAGTTATGCTGCTATAGGCTTAGACTACCGGGGGAACTGGCACCTTGAGCTCCTCTCTCTCTCTCTCTCTCTCTCTCTCTCTGCATATACAGTAAATCATATTACTGCATGTATCTATCTGTAAATCTCAGTCACTAACCACCTATTTTTCTTAGGCTCGTCGAGATCATTGGTTGACGGCCTGCCAGAACAACTTTATTGTAATTTATAATTTAATGTTCAGTTAGGCCTAATTAATTGTGATTTATTGTCATTTCATAGACTAGGTTGTCCTAAATTAATGCAAAGACAAGGATACTATTGTTGAACATCAGAGCAGCAAAAACTTTATTTTTTGTTGTAACTTCAATTTTTATTGAGATTTTGCAAAGACAGCAAAAGTAGAAAAATAAGAAATAAATATTAAACGTGAGAAGTTGTTTGCAACATGAGTTAATATTCTTTTGTTTTTGCAACACTCACTGTAAATATAAAACACTTAACAATAAATAAACACCTCAACTGAAGGAAGAAAGAAGAGTAGGCATATATTTGAACCCCAATACAATCCACATTTGAAGTTGTTATCGTCTGTATGATCAAATTAAATTACTATCTTAGCTTGAGCAGTGTTTGGAGGCACTTGCACGGAACTTAGAGGTTGCTCCCTCCATGGCGACCGGACACACAATAGGCGTTGCACTTGATCCGAAAGTCGGCATCGGTGCAAGACTCGCTGGTGGACCGTGGAGGGTTTCATAACGCACTACCACTCCCCGCTAATTGGTTTGGGACGGACTTAATATGGCGTGCCACGTGCCCTCCGCGAGGACGCGCAAACGGAGGGATAGTGGGTAGGGAGAGGGTGGAGTAGCTGGTTTGAGAAAGACTCACACACCCAGCAATGCACACCTGACACACAGGGGAGGAGAAATAGAGGGTTAATTTACTGTTAATTTAACAAACCTGAGGAAGGGAGGGACTGCAGCCTGTGGAATAATGAGGTCACTTTAGTGCGGGTGTTATTCAGGTCACTTTGGAGGAGGCTTTGTAAGGAAATGCAAATGTTCTGAAAGAAAACTGAAGAGAGGTTGGCAGGAAGAGGAACACATCTTCTCTCACTGGTCCGATCAACAACAATCTACTTAGCTCTCTGTTCACCATGAAGCTGTATGGAGCTTTGATCCTGTTTGTGACTCTATCTACAGGTAAGAACTGCTTTAGAGTTAGCTATTAGTGCACTGAGCACACACATAGTAACTGAAATAAAAGAAATGGTATTTTTTTTTAATGTGATGTTGTCAGAAAGTTCTAGAAAAAGTTCCGGTTTTGCAAATAATGTGCCTATCGTTAGACTTTAAACTTTGGTTTAACAGGGTTAATCTGTGAACTGTTGTTCTGGCCATGTGCCTTCTGACTTTAGAACAGTGTACATTAATTTGAGTAGGTCAACAAATTACTCTCTTTCTGAAGAAACCTTTGTGAAATGTTATTTCCCATCTTCCTTCTCCCATTGTGGGACCATTGGATCAAAATCAAAGAAAAACACAGCATGATAAGGCTATATAAAAAAAACATTCAACATTTGGCTGAACAAAATGTGCATGTCCAAGCCCCTTCTCTAAACTGGTTTCACTAGTTCTCTCAAGCTCTCTTAAAAATACAAAACGACATAATGTGAACTCTTTGTTGAAACTGCTCAAATGCAAAAGCACCGTGTGGTATATTGCGTGACTTAACTGATGTGTTTTGTGTCTCTGTTTAGCATGTGGATTGAGATGCTACACATGCATTGCCGCAGACCCAAGATCATGCACAGACACCAAATCTTGTGCAGTCATCTTCGATCGATGTTTCTCTCTCCCAATCGGTAAGTTCTTTAATTTTCAGGCTTGTAAAGCTAATGATGAGAATTCAAAGCACACACTGAAATTAATCATCAGACAGCCGATACAATTTTTTGCTGTATTAAATTCTTGGTGGCTGATTGGTTTCTGTGTTTTGAAGGCACTGACGTGATCACCAAGGGCTGCCAAAACAGCCTGGTATGTGTAGGTTCCATGTCATGCTGTGAAGGAGACCTGTGTAACAGTGCAGTGCCAACTGGTTCCAGTGTCCTCCTGCTGCTGGTATCTTCAGCCCTCATCACTCTCTTTCTCTAAGGCTCTGGGATCCTCTTATTTTAATGCTGCACTTCTTGTGTCTGAACCAATTTGTACCACTGCAGATGAATAAAAACAATTAAGTTTCACTGGAAACTATATCTCAAAGTCAATTACATAATCTTATGCACATGTTAATCCTTTGCTTTCACTCATGGATTGAATAAAAAGAGCTGGCTATACAATGAAAATCAAGCACGTGTCACTTGCCCATTGGCGGTTCTAGGGAGGGGCCTATGTAAATAAAGTTTATTTACACACTTTATTTAATTTGGGGTTATGCATTTATCATGTAAGTTAGTTAACTAAGTTAGTTATTGCTATTACACATACCCTTACATAAAGAGTAACTATTCCTTATTGAAAAGTGTGCAAAAAGAACTTAATCAGATGCTGAGGCTCTATGACTTCTTTCTCAGGTTTGAAACACAGGACATTTCCTTGGAATGCAATAAATTGCTACAGCCTATCTCAATTACTGAACCTTGCCCCAGTCTGGTCGTCGACCCTCCCAAAATTCAGTCCCTTTTTAGTCAGATAGGCAGGAGGAAATCCACAGGCCCAGGTGACATCCCTGCTCATCTCTTAAAGATCTGTGCAGAGGAGCTCACTCCAGCTTGTTGTCCTGTATTAAAGCAGTCTGTGGATTCACACACAGTTCCTATTCAAAATCCACCATCATTCCTATTCCAAAAAAGTCTTGTCCAACTGAATATAACGACTACAGACCTGTGGCGTTAACTTCTGTGGTTATGAAATGAAAAATATGTGGTGTCTATAAAGTCGCTTAATAATATTCAACACAGCTAAGTGTGGTTTTAAGGTTCTTTAGTTAGATTTCTGGTAGATTAGTTAGATTTCTCATAGCCTCATAGTTCTCATAGAAACACATATTTCAGACATGAACCAAGCGGGCCCCCTTGTGGGCCAAACAGAACACTACCAAACTATTACATCACATGCGTAAAACATAAACATTACAGTATAGTGTATACTGAAAGCAGAATTTTAGCTCTGAGTTAGATCCACTCCAGTTGGCCTACAAGCGGGTGCAGGGTACAGACGATGCAATTAACAGCGTCAGTCATCTGACTTTAAAACACCTTCAAGACCCTAAGGCCATATGCACGTTTGTTGTTTATTGATTTTAGTTCTGCCTTTAATACATTTCAGCCTCATCTGCTGACAAGGAAGCTAACCCAGATGACTGTTAATCCTCTAAACCTCTGGTTATTATTTTAACATAGAACACAGAATGTCAGGGTCAATAACACACTTTCACATTCAAAATCAATCAGCAAAAACTCTTTCATTCCGACATCGATAAAAATTCTTAATATTGTTTCTTAGGGCTGCGGGTTGTGCAATAGTGTCATGGTGTCCCTGTATACTTTTTATATTTTCTTAACTTTGTTATTTTATCTCTCTTGCTGTGTTTTTGCAGATCTTGTGCAAAATGATAGCAATGTATGTTGTGTTGTTCTGTATTGGTATGTGTTTTTTTTATTGTTTTTATTTATTGATTGAGTGGAAGCAGCTAAATGTTTGGCAGAAATATGAGTCCAAGACAAATTTCCCCAAGGAGGAGTTCATTTATTAACTACTATTTTGAAGCCTTGAGTCTTCTTTCATGGTCACTTCTTTTTAAAAGCCAGAAGTGACCATGTTTAGAGAAGAGGTTGATTGAGGTTGATTACTAATTGTTATTTGTCCATTCTGGTTTGCAGGTTGCCAAGGCTGCAACTTGCACATCAAATGAAGCAGACACAGTTATAGCATCAATGTAACTCTTAATGGGAACACTTTTTACTAAATGTTCTCAATGCTTCATTGAAGATGGGTTGAAACCAGAAGAGGTCTACTGAGGTAATATATCAAGTGAGAAATAGTCATATTCTTAACAGGTTCCAAACCATTTGATCCCCTTTGTAACTAAATGAGTTACTAATGGCCATTGGACAAACAGCAGGTTAAAGGTACTTAAAGCTTTTGAAACAGAAATACTTCAACTACTTCTTATGTTGCCTACAAAAAATATATTCTAGTCTAATTCCAGTCTAGTCTTTCAACTTGCATGATGGTATATTCTCAACATTTTCATGGCACAAAATATCTTCCCTGAGACTCACCGCTTTTGAATCAATTCCTTTTTCTTTTGTATTGATACCAAATATAATGTAGTTTTAAAAAACCTGACACCTCCTTGAGTTCAAAACAAACCTTCAAAATCAGAATGTTTGTATCCTTAAACTTCTTCTCTGATGACACTAATATAAGAAACCACATGTGTCAGACACAGAAAATAAGGCAATGTGATAAAAGGACACTTGAGTGGGCTAATTGCAACTGCTAAAGACTCACTATATATATTGTTTTATTTTTTTATATTTATATTATTCTGCTATTTGAGTGGACTGCAGCAAAACTCAACAACAATGATCGAGGTGGGAATCTCAGAGTAACTCAAGATACTATAGAATACACAACATGTGGTTCACCTTAATGTTATCAAGACACGTCCATTCTGCAATAACTGATGTATGCAAGATAATCCCAAATAACTGAAGACTATGCAAGGCTTCTTAAAAAGGTCAAGTGTGATGTATTTATTCATTGCAATATGGTGTCAGTTAAACCTCTTATCATGCTTCTTCCTTTAACTTCTTTTCACTGTTGTATGACAATATCCTGCTCTTCTTCTTTTTCTTCTTCTGTCTGTCAACTTCTTCTTGAGTCAGTTAACCTCTGTTTAAATTACTCTCATACATGCCATGAGCGAAAGCTGGAGGAGTCATGAAGTAGTCATGCGATTAGTCCAACTGGCAGGGAAATCTTTTAAGAGCGTTTTTTTTCTTCTGTTAAATTGTTCATATCTGGCACTAGTGATTCAATAACTGCATCTCAGAAGTCAAGAAGACGATATATTGCTGTGTCAATTTTTTGTTTCATCCCTCCTGACAGTAAATGAAAATGTTTTATTTAATTAATCCATCCATGAATCCCTCTCCTCTAGAATCATCTTCCAACAAACATAACCCTTATGAATTGGCACTATAAAGATTGATTGATTGATTGATTGATTGATTGATTGATTGATTGATTGACTGATTGATTGATTGATTGATTGATTGATTGATTGATTGACTGACTGACTGATTGATTGATTGATTGATTGATTGATTGATTGGTTGGTTGGTTGATTGATCTGTAATGTGTCCTGTTAGACCCAGGTTTGACTCTGTTTAGCCCTGCAGAGGAAGCCAGAGTGCTGCTGAGGGCTTTAGTCAAATCACCTCAGTGAACCACATTGATTTCCTCATTCAGACAGAACCCAGAGAGCTCCAGACAAACAACTAGGCACAAGCTTTGGAATGAAACAGACTGGACTGAGTGTACACAGACAAGCAGCACAATTAAAGTCTTGAGTATAAACACAAGTTTCTGTAGTAAAAGGGTAAAGACTGCCCCCTAGTGCCCACACAGCACATTACCTTGCATTTGGAGTTGTAGTTTACCGTCCTCCTGGCCCATATTCTGAGTTTCTATCTGAATTTGCAGAATTTTTATCAGATTCAGTCCTGAGCAGTGATAGAATAATTGTTGTTGGTGACTTCAATATCCATGTGGATGTTGATAATGATAGCCTGAGCACAGCTTTCATGTCACTATTAGACTCTATTGGTTTCACCCAGGGTGTAAACAAACCTACTCATCGTTTTAACCACACCCTGGATCTTGTTTTAGCTCATGGAATTGAAATCCTATCAAAGTTTGTTGATAGTGCAGTGGATTCGCTGAGAGTTACTCTGGATTCGATTGCTCCCCTGAAACAGAAGGTTGTCAAGCGGCGGAGAGTGGCTCCATGGTTCAACTCAGAAACCCGTACTCTAAAACAATCGTCGCGGAATTTTGAAAGAATATGGCGCTCGACCAAAACGGTAGAATCTCATTTTTTCATAGAAGATATATTTGTATATAGAAGATATATGAAGGCTCTACGTCACGCCCGAGCTGCCTACTACTCCTCTCTAATCGAGGAAAACAAAGGCAATCCTAGATACCTCTGCACCCCTTCCGTCATCTCCTCCTCCTCTTTCTCCTGGCTTGGCAAACTTTAAATCTAATTTCCCTTTCAGGCAAAATAAAGGTCTGAACTGAAAAAGAAAACCATGTTATGTGTTTTTACCCCTTTGTTTTGAATCACTTCTTTGTTGATTCGATAACTGACTTTAAGCATGCCCTCTTAAAAAAGTCAGGGGTCAAAGTCAGCTATTATTGAGATAGCTATAATAAGCAATGTTAATCTTTTAATACCCAGCGGTCATTAAGTGTCAGAAAAACTGGAGAAAATTTATTTACGGCTCTAAATCAAATCATGTGAAGCCTCATTTCATTTTAGGATCCAGCTTGCCTAGATATTATAAAACAATATGGTGAACCAGAGTAACTCTTGGCATGATGGTCACATCTAATTTTCTCTTATTTTATAAAGCCAACATTTATATTTGTTCCATGTCTTGCAGCAGCCAGCCCTGAACTCTCCTGTTTGTTTTCCTCCTCTTCTCCATCCTCAGACTCTGCAGTACTGGTGCTCCTCGGGGTTGTGTCAGCTCACCTGTTCTCTTAACTCTGTACACCAATGAATGCACCAGACTCTATGCAGAGAGCTACATCATTAAATTCTTGGATGATACAGCTATCCTGAGCGTAATGCACAGAGACAGCAGTCCTTCTTTTTATCACTCTGAGGTAGAACATTTTGTGCTCTGGTGTGATACAAACTACATTGTTTTAAATGTTAAAAAGGCCGAGGAGATGGTGTTTGATCCCAGGGGAGTGGGTGATCATCATCCTGTGGTCATCCACAAGGAAAGTGTAAATGTTTGTACATACATGTGAACATTAATCCCATAATCTTTTTCTTCATTCCCCCCCGAAAAAAAGGTATTGGCTGCCTGTGGGATAATGAGGTCAGAAGCTCAGTCTGTAGGGACTTGGGTTGGGAACCAGAGGGTCACCGGTTCAAGTCCCTGTGCGGACCAAGTATGGAAGTTGGTCTGGTAGCTGGAGAGGTGCCAGATCACCTCCTGAGCACTGCTGAGGTGCCCTTGAGCAAGGCACCACACCCCCTCCCCACCACCAGCTCAGGAGTGCCCATTGTGGGCTGCTCTGTCACTCTGACATCTCTCCATTAG